CGGTTACCCCCAACTGTACTTTCTTTGCCGGTGAGGGGGTACTTGTGAACGGAGTGGATAGGGGTACAGACCAGTAAATCAACCCCCATAGACCTCAGTGATACTTACGCGCACTTTTAAAAATCATTAAAAAAACTCGCAACTCTCCGAGATGTTTAAGACACCCATCCAATTTAAGCTCATTTCATCATCTTTCACTCTCTGTTCAATTTTCAGGTGTAATCGTAGGGGTAATCTGTAGACTTTTGTGAGATGATCACCCCTAAAAGTAGTCCTGTGGCCCATCGCCTTTGAAAAATTATGACTGTGCTCCATTGCAAAATAGAGCAATTTTAGGGCTCAGTGTTATCCGAATTTCACAGAAATCTTAGCTCGCAGTCCTGTGCAAGGCTTCCACTCTTCTTATTTACAAACCTTCAAGTTCATGGCCCACAAAATGCTCTAATAGCAAAAAAAGTTAGGGCATACAAATCGTGATTTGGCCCACGTACATGTAGGTAATGTTGGGCCTATTTTACCTGTCTGCACCCATAGACTAATTTGGCGGCACCCATTTTCTGAGGTGGCGCCGGGCTTGCGTGAGTCGTGCTCAGGTAGTACGCACGTATGCACTCTGGGCTCCTTCGACCAGTAGGATTACCAAAATGCGCGCGCACCTCGTCTTTAAGAACGCGTGTGCGGCATGCGTGCGGACTTGGTTCCACCTCAAAAATGGATTCCAATTTTGTTCGCCGAATTATACAATAGCACTGCTGGGCCCTATTCAGCAGTGAGTTAGTCAGCGAGATAGATTCACAGGGGACACTATATGCCGGCTCTCTGGGCCTAGCAAGAACTTTAGATGGTGCATTAGAAGATTGCTACTGTCCAATTTGATGATTTTATTGTCAGTAAAGACGGTGATAATCAAAATGGTGCATTATTTGCCTTAGTATAAGGGTTCAAATATTCAATCTTCAACCCAATGTTTGAATATCTTTTTACCGGTTCGAATACATTGTAAGTATTCAAAAGAAAAAAAACAACATGCACGTACATGTATGTGTGATGTTATTTTAATCGTCAATTTGCGGTGCTTTATTGTCAGAAGTAACTTTTTTGTCGATGGCGGTTCATTTTGTTCATCCTTTAATAGGTTAAAGCCCTTTTACAGTTATAAAAAACTTTCTGCAAAACACTCCAGAAGCCCATAACATTGATTGCTGCATGCAAATTTTACCCGACGCGCTTTGCGTGCAACTTAGTTGAAGCTGGCATGTGTAAATTTGATCGGCGAGTTTCGAATATTTGGTCAAACGCAGTTTCAAATAATTGAATACTAATCATTTGATTGGACAGCCCTATACCTACTGGTAGTATGCAAAATGCTTCTTCAGTAATGAAAATGCCTACTGTACAATGTACATCTGCCAGTTCCCTGGTAGTCAGCAATAAAAGTGTCATAACATTTCGCGTGAACCAGGGAAGAATACACGTACATCATGTACTGTACATGAACATGTATGTACATGTGTCGTCACTTCTAGACTGGTTCCTGCCCCTCCCTTCAATATCCAGAATGTAATGTGATCGGGGACCAGCGTCGCCTAGCCTTCATCGTTACAACACTCATTCGAATACTGTAAAGAAAATTTGGTTCATTACCGGACGTGGTGCTAGGAATGGCATCAATTGATGTGCCGTCTGTTCTCATTTGAAGTATTGATTACTTGCATCAGAACAATGACATTATTCATGAAGAGGTGATGTGCTGTTACTGTACGTGTTCTAATAGACTCATGAATGTAGTACATGCATGTACATGTACATGTACTGGGTACATGTGTAACACTAACTACCCGGTACCAGACAAACAATGCTCTTAAAACTGCGCAAGATTATGCTGATTATGGTTAAGCGTAAATAGATTGTGGTTAGCCACTATTGACATAACTGTCTCTCTTGATACCAGATTAACAGTTGTAATCCTAATGAATTACCAAATGAGGTGTTGTTAATCCCCACTAATCTGGGATTTATGTGGCTTTATAGGTAGATGGACAAAGGGATTATCCCACCAGTGCCCATATTCAGGGTAATATGGTAGCTAGGCGCTGTGTCAATCGGTGCCAAATCATATTATAGCAAGGGTGTTGGAATTCCAAAATAAATGATCTGAATGAAACTTTGAAGTTTGTAATACCGTCTATAGACCCTATACGCAGGGAAACATCCTCTTGCAACTAAATATCACACAAGCCATCAGGTTTTTTAATGGGTCATTCCCCAAAAAGCATCATTCCTTTTAATTTATACAAGAGTTTTCTAGCTGGACATAAAATGTCCATCATCCAGAGTTCACTGGTCATACGTACAGTGCATGAAGCATCTATTCCCCATCATTACATTATATAAGATCCCGGACAACGGATCTCGCTTTACAGCATAGCAACTGGTCAAACAATTTGCACCGTCTATTTTGCTGCTGTGTGATCCAGTTACGTTGCAATCAATGTACATGTACATGTATGTACATGTACATGTACGTGTGCATGGTTACTTTGATATTGTGAACTGATTTCTACTCTATTGTCTGACCTTGCTTTTAATTCATGTTCCTTATAAAAGGGGCCATAATGTGGATTTTGTTACACTAATTATAATTGCTGTTATGCATTTTTAATTAAGAAATTAATTTCATATATTTTTCGTAACTGTTGTGTCGTTTTTTTGGGGTACAAGTTTGTTAATGTAAGCCAATTTGAATTAGTCTTAACCAATTTAAGGAAGTGTTCTTTATTTTAAAAAAGAATACTGAGATCTCAAATTGAGTTAAGTATGAGAAAGTGCTGCTTCATATGGGGATATTATTTTTTATTTGTCTTTTTGTGTTGAGATTATGCCCTTAAAGGGAATATACAACATTTGCAAACATCGAAAAATAAAACTACCAAGTTTTTACGAAATACCTTACTAGGATGTTGGTAATTGACAGTCTAAAGCGTCCTGTAAAATTATGGCCCCTGGTGTGAAGTCATTTTCAAGAAAACGGTATTTTTGTATACATTTCCAACAGTGGTCGGCTGACCACCGTTGGAAAAACCTAACTATTTTTCAACTTCTGCTCCAAATTTACCATTTCACCCGAGAAATAAAAATATAGGGGGCCTATTTAATTTTTTTTTTTTAATTTTCTCATAATTTACTATTTAGAAATCCATTAAATTAATTCAGTTAAATACCTGAATATTAAAAGGGCCCAAGTCCAGAAATTAAATCACCCAAGAAATGAAAATATACCGGTAATTAATTTTTTTCTCTCTCTCGAAAACTTGTCTCGTGCCCTTTTCATATTCAGGTACCGGTATTCAATTGAATTAATTTCATTGATTTCTAAATAGTAAATTATGAGAAATCAAGCACGTACCGGTAAGAATTGTCGGCCAATTATAACATTTTGTAGTATTGTACCTGTACAAAGGGCAAGGTTGCTTGATCCAAAATATTGCTTAAAATGCTGATCAATTCTTAATTTTTGATGTGAGAAATCTGTCAGTAGTTCTTCCACAGAAACTGTACTGCCCAAACGAAGCTGTTTCCTCAGTCTTGTTAGCAGCTGAGCCACTTGGACTGAAATCTATACTTTGCCACGGCACTTGGTGCAGTAAGCTCACATTACAAATTAGCTGTAGCCTGCTAAGTTGTCAAGTCCTATCATTGGGGTATATATTTCGCAGATATTTTTGCGCTTGAGTTTCCCAAGTTTGGAGTACATATATTATGTACATATTAAGTGTGAACTTGCTCTTGTGAGTGGAAACTTGTTTTTCTAAGTTGCATTAAACCTACCGGTAGTCCTGAAATTTGGGACTCTCGTGACTGTTTATGAGTCTATGAGAGTCCCAAAACTAATTGAAAACATGCAACGCAATAGACAGGCACCTGAAACAACCAGTCCAACAATCAACTGTGTCCTAAGAAACATGTGGCAAGTCTGGTACTGGTCTCTATTTCTACACATTTCTCCATAGTCAGCCACCAGACTAATTACAACGAATGAAGAGGTCATTCTTTTCAAACAGTTTGACCATGGTTTGACATGTACCAGTCTAGCCTTTAGCCTCATTGTAAAATCACTTGACTTCCCTCTCATGTGCAAAGTATTGAAGAAAACTTTCCTTTAAAAATTGAATTGAGTCTTCAAACTTGGTAGTTGAAACACTGTGGACCTTTTCTTTGCCCAATGAAAGTTCTGGAGAATTTTGCTTTGAGTGAGTAAAGTTGGCCTGATTTTGTTTTACATGTTTCTCAGCACTCAATGCCCCAGTCTGGGCCGAACCCTAACATCAAATTTGTGTACACAACTGCCTTGTTCAGTGTACTTAGAACATGTAGAAAGGCATCTCCTTCAGTATATTACATTTGATGACCATTACACCATGCAAAGTTTTTAACCCTAACTCCCTAAGCCTTTTTGCTAGGATGTACCGGTAGCCTCAATCCTGCAAAATCCTCCAATTGGCCTTATGGAAAAATAGCATACATGTATACCGGTAGCCTCAATCCTGCAAATTCCTCCATTATTTCTTGAATATGGTCCATGGAGAGGTGACCACTGCCTGAGTCCTGCAAAATCCTCCGGCTATGACTGTCTATAGGCTGAGGCAAAGGCAGTGACATCCTGAAGCAGTGCGGAGGATTTCAAGTATAATCAAGGACTCAATTTATGCTAGGCTGAGCATAAACAACACAAGGTCTGGCCCAAGACCTTGCGTCCTCCAAAATCAGCAACGCACTTTTGCCATGTAACCTCAATCCTGCAAATTCCTCCAATTTGCAAAAAGGATTTTGGAGGATTTGGGATGGTTAGGGTTAAGTAGATTGTTATTGACCCATATCACTGCCTGTTTTATTTCCTTGGTTATCCTTATCATTGCTTTGACCCCATCCTGGCAAGTATACATGTATCTGGTATAATTTACTAAATAAACTATTTGTCTGTTTCTTGCTTTTCTTTTTAGTTCGCCTGCACGACAGCATTCCCGAAGAAAATTTTCATTACCTAGTATTTGACTTGTAAGTATTACGCATTAATTTTCTGATGATGTAATGGCTGCTGTAATTAATAAAAAATGATATCGGTGAAATATTCTCATTGACATGATGGCATTATAATATCAAGCTTTTCATTGATACCAATTTTACAGTGATATCAGGCAGGCGTTCTTGTTGATGTCAATGAAATGTAAGAATATTTCATTGACATCAACAAGAACACCTGCTTGACATCACTGTAAAACTGGTATCAATGAACAGCTTGATATTGTTACTTATAATAACCAACAATGCTTAAACATATTTCATTGATTGATATTAATTGATTTCAAATTCTCGTTGATAACAGATGAATTATTTATCAATTGTTATCAAATATTGTGTGCGATATCAATGTTTTCTATTTTTCCAGTATTTCAAACTGGCGTCTTTTTTTCATTTTCAAGTTCTTATTGTGGCATTTGGACATTAAATTACATGCGAATTGTTTTGCACATGAACGATGCTTTGGGCAAAAAAAAAAAAAAAACCGAAAAAAAATGAAATTATTGGATAGTATATTGATGAATAAATAAAAACCATTCATTAATATATGATTTTCTGCCCTTTGCTTTTCTGGGCTGTACTGCATGCATTACCTCTTACCGGTACCTTAACATCCCCCCCCCAAAAATATATAAACAAATATAAACGAATGAGTAATTTGATAAACATGATTCTATTATTATTTTATTACCGCCCTATGATTTTCTGCCATTTTGCCATTCTGGGCTCGGTTGTTTCCAGTCCCTCTTGTCTTCCCAGCCTGGCGCCTCTTCATCCCCACGATAGAGGCTTTTGACCCCAATTCTTAGCCACTCAGACGTGGGCCCCCGCTGGCCACAATCAAACCAGGCTGATGTCTCTTGGGAAAAGTACACTTGGGGTCAGTCCCTGGTCGACTGTCGAGCAGAATGCAATGTGACATTGCTATGATTGAGTTTGTGTTTCTGTAGATTCTGTAAGGATTGGATGATAGTGTTAACCTATTTGTCGCTGTACCGCCCGAATCTGCCCTGCCTGTTTCTCTTTGTACTGCCCCAAACCACCTAAAAGCACTTTATGATTATAGTACTGGCAGATAGGTGATGGGATTGACTTTGATGATATTTATGAGCATGGCATTTGGCACACAGTCAGAATATGTCATGAGATACATGTAGCAATTTGGCTATAGGGCTATCACAGATTTGTCTCTTGAAAAAATATACCGGTATGTAGAATACTAGCGATGACAGCCATTTTGAAAATTTTGAATTTTGCTTGTTCTACGTTTATTTTTTCATAGGGCAAATCTGCGATGGCTCCATGAGACATACTCCGACTGTGCCATGCCATGCTTATATCATCAAAGGCACAATTCCCCCAAATATTTCCCGTATCTGCCCCATTATTACCAGTGCATAGGAACATGTAATTGATTCTTCGGGGAATATAATGTATCGAGGTGTTAATGGGTTCAAAATGCGTAACAATTAATACATTGCTGATCCACTTGTTATGTGAAAAAAAAAACCCAGATACTATATGTACATGTACTTAGCAGTTCTGTCACAGAAAGAAAATAACTGCGCAGGGATTCGAACCTGTGACCTTCGAAATATTCGCATGCATTGCAAGCATTGACCCACTTTGTCAATTTCTGTTCTGTGGGCATCAAACAAACTCAATTTTACAATGTCAGTATTATATTACAATTTCAATATAACATAAAGTGAGACCATGTATTTGTTGAACTTCGGTCACATAAATGTTTGGGATTAATTATTCCAACACTCAAATTGTAGGGAGGGGCAGCCTGTTCATGTGTGTGTGTGTGACAAAGTTGTCAATTTATAAGCTTTTACTTCAATTTTCCAGAAAGGCAGTCTTAAAAGATTGAAGGTCCTGTAATGTTACTCCGCGTCCCCTTATTTCTCTGTGGTTATGATTCTGCCATACATATTAATCCTCCTTCTCTTGGTGTTTCCCTGTGATATTAACAGTCGAGACAGTGAGCAGAAATACTCTGTCCTTTAGCTGCGGCATTCCCTGCTCATGCAAGCATGTCCTCATTACCATCTGGGCCCTCGGCTGCATGAAGCCAGGCGAGAACCCTCCGGCTCGAACTCACAGCCCGGATCGTACGCTCACCTTATTAGATCTTTCAGGCCGCCGCGAAAAAACAAGATGTCCTCATGATTTCCTAGATGGGATTTAAATTATCGATGACGGTTCGGGTAATACGCTGTCTCATGTCAACAAGAGAAGGGCCTTCTGTAGAAAGCTACATTGTAACTCGCTGGTTATTCACATTGTGTGAATGGGATTTTTTTTTTTTTACAAACATAGTCCAGTGTGTCTGTGAGATGCTACCAAAACAGCTTTAATGTTGTGTCAAGTCACCGAGGGTGGCTTGCGAAAGGGTTTGGGTTGGCTGGTTCTTGGCAAGTGAACAGAAGCTTTGAGCTGACACAAATCAGGAAGTGCGTATTTCAGCAAGTTTTGCTGGTTTTGTGGCTGACAGGTGTTGAGTTTTTACTGGAAAAATGCCAAAGTTCCGTTATTTTCCAATAGTAAACCTCAATTCAGTGTTTACAAGGTACACGTACAATACTGGTTCAAATGAAACTTATCAGTTGAAACATTACTTGAAATCCCACTCCAATAAAGTTTTTGTTTATAAGCGTCATTCCGTTTTTGATTCGACAGAGTTACTGGGGGTGAACTGTTTGAGGACATTGTTGCCAGAGAATACTACAGTGAAGCAGATGCCAGCCACTGCATCCAACAGATCTTAGAGAGTGTGGAACATTGCCATAGAAATAGTGTAGTACACCGAGACTTGAAGGTAAAATAAGAGACAAAGGCTGCCCCTCTCAATCCTTGCTCAACCTCACCTTACCCCAGCCCACCATGGCCATGCCCAGCCAGTCTCGCCCTACCAAACCCGATCCCACGCGAGCCAACACTTCACAACCCAATCCAACCCCTACCCAACCCAACTCAACCCAAATGAACCCTACCCAACCCAACGCTACCCTCCCAACCCAACCCAACCCAATGCTACCCAACTCAACCCAACCCAACCCAACCCAACCCAACCCAACCCAACCCAAACATAGCAAGTGTGTATTTGCGTGCAATCGGGGACCCCCTATTGTCCCTCTTTTGTTTGCACTTTTTAGGAAGACCTCCCATATGTTTTGTACAGGAATCCAAATTGGGGACCTCTGCAGTTGGAGACCCTATTGTTCAACGTCCCCTATTGAATGCAGAAACAAACTCAACCAAACTCAAGCCTACCCAACAAACCCAACCCAACCCAACCCAACCCAACCCAGCCCATGTACGTGTGTATTTGCCTGCAATCAGGGACCCCCTATTGTCCCTCTTTTATTTGTACTTTTTAGAAAAGATCCCCCATATGTTTTGTACACGATCGAAGATTGGGGACCTCTCAGGAATTGGGGACCCTATTGTTCTCTATTGTTCAACGTCCCCTATTGAATGCAGAAACAAACAAAACCGAACCCAACCCAACCCAACCCAACAAAAGCTGAACCTGACCCAAACCAACCCTGACCCAACCTAGTCCAACCCAAACCAACCCCAACCCCAACCCAACTTACCCTAACCAACCAACCAACCCCACCGACCAACCAACCAACTTCTGTCAATCTCTCTTTTCAACTTCTGTAAATCTCTCTTTTCAGGTACATGAACCTTTTGTCTGGGGAGGGAGGGGGGGGGGGATACAGAATTTGAGTGACATTTGTTATTCCCATCAAATATCAACAAGATTGTTGTACCGGTATGCACGGCTCTTAATGTCAAGAGTATGTGCCTTATTGCCAAGGAATTCCCCAAGCTTTAAACTATTATTAAGAACAGCCATTACAGTCTGCACTTTGCCATGGAATTGGCAGAAGTACATGCACATGCACATAGTCTTTTGTGTGGGAATATGCAAAAGAATATGAAAAAAAAATGTTTGCACATATTATTTTTCAGATTTAGTTAAATAATATCAAACATGTCCATTCACAAAATTGCTGTATTATATTTTAGACATACACATTGACAATTGAAATGTGTCCGCATAGAATTATTATACATACATAATTGTACATGTCTGTGCATGTAAAAAAAGCACCTCTATCTGAAAAGTTTTAACCAAATGTGCTCCGTTAATATATTTGAAATGAACAATCAATTCTATTTTATTAATGAGGCCTAGGCCTTAATCTAGTTAACAAAAATTAAACGTGCTTTTGAAAAGTCATTGAACATTAAATTTGCAAAAATATTGAAAGGGTTTGGGGATCACCGGGTAACTTTTTCCTACTGGTAGCTCATTTCGTCTATGATTTTATAAAAATGTCCAATCAATTTCATTGCAAACTGAGAAAGTCTATCTGTGTAATGTATCATTTCCCCCCCCCCTTTTTCTTGCCTTGATAAGCATCTAATTACTCCTCACACGAACGTCGTCAAAATGCACTCCTTTCCCCACTTTGACAGCCAAATCATTTGACTTTCAAAAAAAGGTTAAGAGTCCGTCGTAATCAGCTTTTCATCTTTGCGCAGTCATTGGATGATTTTGATGACCTGACACCAAAATCCCTCCACTGACATCAGCAGGTGTAAGACCATAATTTATTCCCCCCGTTTTTTTTTCCCCGGCGGAGCCTGACCTCGTGTAGCCCCTTGCCCGGGCCTCTGCCAAGGGACAAAAGAAGAAGTGGATTTTTAATGTCATTGTGATATCGGGAAGAGACGGAGAATAGAAAGAAGAAACGTTATTCTTCCCGTCCACGAAGGCTTGACTGTAGTAAGCTGTTCCCTCATGCTCATCTGTAATTCTGCATAATAGCGCGACGGCATCAGATGTGACTTAAACGAGAGAAAGAGATGGGTAAAAAAAAAAAACGGGAGAGATAATGATGTATGGCATACTAATGGGTGATGAGCTCGAACGACTCGCACGCTGTTCGCGGAAGGAAAAAAGGGAAAACCAGCTACACCAGGTTGCCATGGCAGCCTAATGGTTACCGTGGAAACCCCTGCAAGGTCTTGAGCCTCCATATTAGTTTCCCAAATCGACGGTTTCCCAACCCGTGTCATCCGACTGGTACGCAAATGTCAGTCTCATTAATGCCGGCAACGGGGGAAAATACTTGCCATGGGGGGAAAAATACATCCCAAATATAAAATTTGTCCCCGGAAGGAAAGCAACCTAACAATTCATTGTCTATTGTGGATAATATTTTAAATGTTATCTGTACTACTTGTACATGCACAGGTACATGTGTATGTGTCTCTATCATCTGTACTCCCTGTAGACTGAATAGCACATAACTGGTGCACATTCGCACTTTGACATTAACATACGTACACGTAATGTACATGTATGTTCATGTTATTTAATACCCATAGGCTTATTAATGGACTTGAATGCACATACATGTAGGATTACACTTGCATGGTGCATTGGGTTCTGTATATGAAACTCCCGCACATACATGTACATTATAGCACAGGCGTGTACATTTGTACGTACCGGTACATATGTGCAGGCACTATTGATTCCTGTACATTTACAAAACTGTAGTTATGCAGTTTACCCAACCCCGTTCCGCCGACTTCATTTTCCTTTCTCACTTCCGCCTTTTGTTACATGGTTCATGGTATGTACCATTGTTGGTGACTGACCTTTTGTCGTTTCCCCCTTACCTTTCACAATGCAATGCCTTGTGACTGATCAAATATGATAAGCAATTCAGACATGTATGCTATTTTTAAAGGTAGAGTGTATCATTTGTCATTTGTGATTTTTTTTCGTTTGAAGCAACAAAAGTGATCAAAATCTAAAGAAGGGTGCTTAACAACTAACCTGATAAAGTTTTAGCTCAGTGAATGCTGTATATTCCCAGAAAACAATATCCTAGGATCGCAATTTCAGTTAAAAAATGTTGCCAAGTCATGTTTTAAATTGTGCCCGAAATCAGCATCTGGGACATGTTCTCATTCAGCAGATTTGCAGCTACGCCATGTCACACCCTGAACCGACAAATCATAGCAACCGCATAGGTCTACTTAGCAGTTCTGTCACAGAAAACTCTTGCGTGCACCCATTCACAGCTTCGCCAAATTAAAAACAAACTACTAACAGTAATTTGATGCATCAAGTGACGCATTTTTAAAAATTTCTGTTATAGGCCTTAGTTTGTAATTCGGCGAATCCGTGAATGGGTGTGCGCAAGTGTTGACACGACGCACACGTGCGCGCGGTTGCTATTATTCGTTAGTTCAGTGAGTGACATCATGTAGCTGCAATCGGCTGAATGAGAACGTGTCCCGGATGCTGATATTCAAAACATGACTCGACAACTTTTGAATTGAAATCAAGATCCATGAATATTGTTTTCTCGGAATATGCTGCAATCAATGAGCTAAAATTTCATCAGGTTTAATAGTCGTCAAGCACCCTTCTTTAGATTTTGAGCACTTTTGTTGCTTCAAACGAAAAAAAATGCACAAATGTTCTATTCTACCTTTAATCTACCAATTTTTGTAATGTTTATTACCGAGATGTTCGGAAATTGCTCACATGATAATCATTGCATGGACGGCAGTATTTTTTGTTATTGTCAATCAAGCATTTGTTTGTACATTATTTACATACGCATGATTTGGTTATACTTCCTGCACATTACCCATTTTACAAATTGCGAAAATGACATCACTAACAGTGCATGTTCAAAATAATTTATGCTGTCTCTGTAATGACAATTCATTGCTATGGTGATACATGTACCGGGTATGCACAAACGTCACATGTATTGTACGTACATTGTACATGTACATTCGTATGTACTTGTATAATGGAATTACCATGAAATGTCGACCTCAATTTCTGGGTTGGAAGCTGTTTACTTGCAAATAAGCGGCAAGAGCTGCGATGCATCTTAAACAGTGTATAGATGACGAGATTAGCATAAAGCCGTGCTGGCACTGACTTCCCCATTCCTTGTGTGGCGGAGGCAGCCGGCTTCATACCCATGATCGCATTACATCAGATTAGTAGTCTGTGAGTGGTGCCTATATGATATCTCTATCCGTGGGCTCTTTGCATAACTACAGACCCCCTCCACCCCCTCGCCCTGCCAGTTGTGACCATATGGCAAATATGGAAGTATGGTTCTTTAAACCTGTAAGTCCCTGTACCGCCCCAAACCGCTCTGCCTATTACCCCATAAGGCCTGAAACCGCGCAAGCACTCTGGTTTTCTAGATTCAAAAGTGAATTAATACAATGTTATACAATGTAATACATGTACATGTAGTACAGGTGTAATGGGTTAATACCATTTTCATCATGTGAATATACTCAACTGCATGCATCTCTAGCGTACATGTTCATGTACATGTTCATGTTCATGTAGGCTGCCAGTTTTTGAACAGGGAGTTTGTAAACATGTTTTTTCACTCCGTTTTTGAGATGTTTGATTTTCATGGCTGCAAACCAGTGTGCAGATCAACAAAAGTTGGTTGTCCTCATGACTTGGCTTTCATTTATGGAAGCTTCCCAGCGCCCTCTAGAGTTTACGCAAAGAGACTTTAATTATTAACCATTGTTTAACTCTACCATGTTATATTCAAGGAACTAACAATGGATCACAAGTCACCAAAAGTCCATCAGAATCATTCAGTCCCAAGTCAGCTCTCAAGCTGTTGAAATGAAATACAATGTATGACATATTACCAGTGACTGGACTCATGAATTGACTTGTGTTGTACATGTAATTGTGTCTAGAATTTCCCCTGACTATAACACTGCTACCTTATGGGCTCCGATCACCAACAAAAGAGGGCGCTTTTTTACCGTTTTTGAGAGCACCGTGGACAGGACATAGCCCATGTGCGTACTGGTTCACCCGCGTATAGCGCGAAGTACGCACTACTTATTTTATTCTAAATGCACACAAAACCATAGCATCTTCGCGTGAGCGTCAGGCGTCGGCAGTCCGTTCGAATGTCTCTCCCAATGGACTCGCAAGTCTGGTTCCCAGACCAAAAGATCTATTTCTGATGAATATAAGATTTGTTAAAAATAAAAGTCGGAACTTTTTGGTCGGGAAACCAGACCATAGTCTCCCCCAACTCTAACATCCTTGCCAGTGAGGGGGTACTTGTAAACGGAGCCCATAGCCACTTGGAGACTTTATTTCCTTTCAAACTGATGTGGTGAGTAAATGTACATTGCACATTATATTTCTACAATGTATTCATGAATTTTTCTTGTTTTTTTTCCTTATCTTTCTAGCCTGAAAACCTACTACTAGCAAGCAAACTAAAAGGTGCTGCTGTCAAGCTTGCCGATTTTGGTCTTGCTATCGAGTTGCAAGGGGATCAACCGGCATGGTTTGGTAAGGCTTGTTTGTCCACTCGTCCTTGGTTTTTAATTAAACAAATATAGGAAATGGCCCAAAAAGATTGATATCCAACCAGAAGCTGAGCTGAGAAAATAATTCTGTCAGAGGGACTTGTTTTAGATGAATTGTAAGTAAAATAAAAAGTGAAGTCTGTCATGAGCCAATGAGGCCCATCTCGTCGGCATTTTATATCTCCGGTTTCAGCAGCGTGAAACGACTAAGAATATTTCTATTCCCTCTGGATGGGATGTTAGTCCATCGCAGGTTACTCCCCAGCTAATGCCGGTACCCATTTGTACTCCTGGGTGGATTTTATATCTCCGGTTTCAGTTTTAGAGGTGGGAGGAAAACCCCAGAAGAATATTCTGGGGGGAAACCCACGGAATCAGGTAGGGACTGAAAACCCAATCCACATGTGAACCAGGATAGGAATCGAACCCAGGCCACAGCGGTGGAAGGCGAGGAAAGAAACCACTGCGCCAATCTGACTCCTGATGTAATGAGGTTTGCAGTAGCAACATTCAGTGAGATCTGTTTTGTGACCGTGTGCGGTTCTGGAAAGAACCGGTTTGGCAACACAACATTGTGCAAATAGTATGCTCTGTCCATCATCTTCATACTTCAGATCCAGATGACGACAGGAAATTCCCAGTGGGGAAATTGTGGTATCATTATTGTGATACTTTCAAACCACAAATGCCAGCTTCATAACCACAGGAATGCTAGTGGCACTTTTTTGAACCCCCAGGACGAATTTTATAGCGGTTGCTGCCTGTCTGTTTTTGTTGATATCTTTATCAAACCTGTCTTGTGCTGTCTTTTTCTTTTTCTTAATGCATCGTTGAACTATACCGGGGATAATTAGGCAATTCCACTGCTATGAAAGCCTTGGTCGCGTCATGAAGTGACATATCGTGTGCACAAAGTCCATAGACGATACATGTACGTCACTTTGTGGTGCACCCGACGAAAGGAAGTGTAATGTCCATGACAGAGCCAATTAACCATGATGTCTTCCATAATTAATGATTCAGAGAAATGATCCAAAACTCCTAGTCTGTAATCTCCTCGACCATTACCAGATGATGGATGTATAAGATCAGAAAAATACATTTTCAGGTTTATTCACTGAGCTCTTAAAAGCTCTGCTACAGACATTACATTGCTGGAATTACCCAGATCTAATTTCATGACGTCACGTTTTGAGCGGCATAATTTACATGACGCACATGCCTGGGAACATTAAGTTGTGGGAACCGAACATTTTTTGAACGCTAGCTATTGTGGGGACATTTCGACAGATGTTACATCATGAAAAGTCCGTCTGCGAGACAGGGAAAGATGTATTTTACGGAACATAGAATGTGAAGTACATTGTACATGTAGGCAATTTCAGCGAATAAAAACAATTTTGGCCCCCCCTCCCCACCCCCCCCAAAGTTGTGTTCTGGATCCTGCCTTGGGTTTGCATGATCCGTGGCTTGGTAAGGCGTACTGCTCAAACGTGTCTTCATGTTGTGTACATGGGTCTGTCTTAGATTTTCTTTTTTGTACGCTGGTTCCGTCCAGGGTTTGAATTGAGAGCACCGGGCCCATGGAGGAGCTCGTGATCCTTGTTTAAAAAGGTTTTCCTGAAATCTCGTGTTCCACAAAGAGTCCAACACAAGAGATTTTGGGTAGTACAAAATGGCCTGTAGACCCTAATTCTGCATTGAGTTTTTCTCATTTTCTTGCACCGTTTTGGCCGACAGGTTTTGCTGGAACACCGGGTTACCTGTCACCGGAGGTTCTGAAGAAGGATCCATACGGAAGGGCTGTGGACATCTGGGCATGCGGTAAGTGTGACAAAGAGCTAGAAGCCATGTCTTAATTAGGCACTGGTGTCTAGGGCTATGGCTATTGGAGCTCTGACGGCAGAACTGAAGCCGTAGTCCCAAAGTACTTGTGTTTTGGACATGGCCTTAGACCAGTGTAAAAATTTGTATTATAGACTCCGTGCAGGAAGTGTATGTGTAGATGGCACTCACAAGAGCAAATATCGAAAAATTTGCTTGGAAATCGGAGTTGCCCCCCCCCCATTAATAAGGAATGTAAATCCTCCTGCCTTACGGGCGATTCCCAATACAGTGTGGCACCAAGTGGTTGCCACGGAGAGTCCATTTTTCGCAATGCATTGTGGGAGATGGTCGACAAATTCGCGGCGGTGGGGTCAGTAGTTTTGTAAGCGTATGATTCAAGTATCTTTTGTTTTTCTTTTCATTTTATCAAGACGGTGTTTTTTTGTGAGGCGGCCAAACGCTGTGCCCCGATCTATTATAAAATTTCCTCAAGTTGTCTACTGACATTAGTTCAAATCGCAGCTTGTCGGCCTTGTCTTTGTCAACTGTAAAGTTGAAAAATTGACTGTCCCTGGCAACCTCTTGTTGGCGCACTGTATTGAGAATCCCCCGTATTGCCTGATATTGTAAATAAAAAAAAAATTGCACCGTACATGTGTGAGTACTTTCCCTTCTGTATCTGTATGGTTACGTTGCAGAAACCTATTCAGGCATTATCGCAATAGAGTATAGGTACTCAAGGCACTGGGAGTTATGTCTATTATAAATGAATGAAGTACATGAGGAATATAAGACCCATTATGTAGCACCTAATAAGAGTTTACAAGGTGCTGTGGCCACTGCCAGGACACCGGGGCAAACCCCTTCTCTTAGCGACAAGTGTTACTGGGTTCTTTAAGGTGCATTACACAACACACGGGACCTACGGCTTTACGTCCCATCCGAAGGACGAAGCAAGAATGGTTAAGTGCCTTGCTTAAGGGCACAAGTGTCCGCCGGCGGGCTCGAACCCACGTCACTGTTGCCTCTGAAACACCAAAACATGAGTCCGGTGTTCTTAACTGCTAGCAGAGATGCCAACCATTACTCTTCTGGAGTAATTATTAGGATTTTGAGGCATTTTACTACTCTTGAAAATTCCAGCTGTCCTATACGCCAACAATGTGGTTACTCTAAAAAGTACTGTGGTTACTCTTAAACTTGACTGTTGTCCTATGTATTTACATTAGCATTACTCGTTGCAGGAAGAATCATTACTGTTTTGTAGTCTGTAAAGTTGGCATCTCTGTACTAGGCCATGACACTCCCTTTATACCGAAAATTTCAGGAAAAAATGTCAGGATCCACTTAATCCCTGCATCAGATACATGTGTATTGTTAAATCGAACTGTTATTTTGTATTAATTACATTTTATTTATTCCCTGATGGTTTCATAGAACCTTAACAATACTGTGGTTCAGGGAGGCAGGGTGGTCTGGGGGCATTACTGGGACCATAAAGGGTTTTAGGTCAAGAAAATACGTTAGAAGAAAAATAAAAAAACAAGGCTTGCAATTTATTAAATGCATCCATCGTTGTTGAGAATTTTTACAAATGTGACCAAAGTAAAATAACAGTTAATGAAGAAATGTCTCGTACACGTACACGTACACGTACATGTACATGAATTTCTGTTACAAGTACACTTTTACAAGGACTATTTTGACAGAAAAATAATTGTGTGATTTGAAGACTTGGTGACTATATTTTCCCAATCATCACTAATTGGACAAACTAGTCCTTCATTTGGATCTCATTAATGCGGAACAAACAAGGACACGGCTATCAAACAACTTCACAAAAACTGAATTTAGCTTGTTAGTTTGCGCATTTGCTTAAAAGTATAGTCCATCATTTGTAATTTGTGCATTTTGTTCGTTTGAAGTAACAAAAGTGCTCAAAATCTAAAGAAGGGTACTGATCAATTAACCTGATGAGGTTTCAGCTCAGCTTCAGCTGTATATTTCGAGAAAAACAACATTCTAGGATCTCAATTTCAAATCAAAAGTTGCTGAATCATGTTTTGAATTGGGCCTGAATTCAGCGTCCGATACACGTTCTCACTTAGCCGATTGCAACTACGCGATGTCGCGCACTGATCCGACGAATTATAGCAACCGCGCGTGCGTCGTGCCAATGCTTGCGCTCGCTTCGCCGAATAACAAAACGAACTACAAATTTGAATTTCCTATGGTGCTTCTTAAGAAGCACCGTTGGAAAGGCCTGCTTTTGTTGATTTCTTCAAAATGACAGCTTGCCAGAAAGAATTACTTCACAGGGAGTTTAGTCCCCTTACTATCTTTCAACCAAGTTTGTTTTTCAACAATAATTACGCCAGTTATTTTTGGGATAGCTGGAAATGATGGACTCTGGCTCTAAATCGAACTGCTATTTTGTATTAATGACATTTTATTCATTCCCTGATGATTTCATAAAACCCTAACAATACTATGGTTCAGGAAGGCAGGGTGGTCTGGGGGCATTACTGGGACCAAGGGGTTTAGGTCACGAAAATATGTTAGAAGAAAAACAAAACAAGGCTTGCAATTTATTAAATGCATCCATCGTTGTTGAGAGTTTTTACAAATGTGACCAAAGTAAAATAACAGTTAATGAAGAAATGTCTCGTACAGGTACATGTACATGAATTTCTGTTACAAGTACACTTTTACAAGGACTATTTTGACAGAAAAATAATTGTGTGATTTGAAGACTTGGTGACTATATTTTCCCAATCATCACTAATTGGACAAACTAGTCCTTCATTTGGACCTCATTAATGGGGACAAAAAAGGACATGGCTATCAAACAACTTCACAAAAACTGAATTTAGCTTGTTAGTTTGCGCATTTGCATAAAGGTATAGTCCATCATTTGTAATTTGTGCATTTTGTTCGTTTGAAGCAACAAAAGTGCTCAAAATCTAAAGAAGGGTGCTGATCAATTAACCTGATGAGGTTTCAGCTCAGCTTCAGCTGTATATTTTGAGAAAAACAACATTCTAGGATCTCGATTTCAAATCAAAAGTTGCTAAATCATGTTTTGAATTGGGCCTGAATTCAGCGTCCAAGAAACGTTTTCACTAGCCGATTGCAGCTACGCGATGTTGCGCACCGATCCGACAAATTATAGCAACCGGGCACGCGTTTGTGTCGTGTCAATGCTTGTGCGCACTTCACCGAATAAAAAAACGAACTACTAAAGGAAATTTCCAATGGTGCTTCTTAAGACACACTGTTGGAAAGGCCTTCTTTCGTTGAAATCTTTAAAATGACAGCTTGCCAGAAAGAATAATTTCACAGGGAGTTTAGTCCCCTCATTATCTTTCAACCAAGTATGTTTTCAACAATAATTACACCAGTTACTTTTTGGATACATGTAGCTGCAAATGATGGACTCTGGCTTTAACCTGCTGCCATTTTTTTCTCCATTCCTTTTATACAGGTGTGATTCTGTACATCTTACTGGTCGGGTACCCTCCCTTCTGGGATGAAGACCAACACAGATTGTACTCGCAAATCAAGGCTGGATCCTATGATGTGAGTGTAGGAACCAGACTGATCGACTGCATTTTGAAACTTGTAGTTTTCTGGATAAGGGATTTTTTGCCATAAGAAAATTGATCTATCATAAATCAGCATCTCTGGGCAATGTTAGTTTGAGCAACCCTGGTTTCAAAGCTTTCAGATATTCTGATGCATATATTTCACGTTTTATTTCACGTTATTGATAAGGCTGAAATGATAAACCAAACATTTGATATGCCTTTGTCCGTATTCAGCATTTAAATCTAGTGTTGCGCAATCACAGTTGTCCCACAGTTGTGAGTAAGACCAATTTAACCTTCTAGGTTTAAACTAATATATTTTTCATGGGGTAAAAAAAATTGACCAAATAGGTTTAAACTAAAATGATTTTTTTTTCATGGGGTAAATACCAGGGTCTATTTTTATGGCACTACTCAGCATACAATTTTCCAGCTTACTTCTGTTCATTTTACATACTCCATTGGTAAGTACAACAAAGACAAGATTTAACAAAGATCTTCAAATTTGCATGTATACATATAATTTGTGATGCAACATGCGAATCTCCCCACCTCAACTTTGGAATGAGAAGATCTAAAGTATAATTTTTCCTGCTTCAGTTGACTTATTGTTAATGCTAACTCTTGTACCGTGGCCCAGAACGGACATCAAAGTAAATGTCTTTGCTTCGTCTGCTTTCTCAGTACCCTTCACCAGAGTGGGACACCGTCACGACTGAAGCCAAGCAACTCATTGACAGCATGCTAACGGTCAACCCCACTAAGCGGATAACGGCTAACGAAGCACTCAAACATGCCTGGATAAGCGTAAGTTGTTACATTCTATGCCCCGTGTACTCCTTCCATAAGCACTGTTTAAGCACTTATAGTCACTCATGCTTAGCAGATCTAACATGCTTATTAATTTCTTATACCACAGACATTGTATCCACTTAATAAAGGACCCATGATGTGAATTTTACTTTGGCTCATATTATGTGCAACTTTCTACTACTCTTAAATGTATGAAAACTATTTGACATCCCTTTTGGTTAATTTTATGGAAAAGCGAATTTTTTTTAAACATTTAAATTTTCCATGCTTTTCTCAACAAATGAGGTCACTGTTGCTATGTTGTCATTTCAGTAAGACACTGTTCAGTTGAAGGGTTTTCTGTTAAAGTTGTGAACCCAAAAATTGCTCATTGAAAAATGTTGTGGGGAAACTTTGCTCATTGGCCGGAAGTGGTGTACTGAAACCACAACGAATCACCAAAAAAATATCCAAAATTGTGGCAAATTTTGATGCTGACATAGCTGTAACATTGAGGTTTCTGCCTGAAATGATATCACACCTCTGCTCATGAATATGCAAATTTGCATTAGCATAAAAACCAAATAGGCATCAAAATCACTTAAAGGTAGAGTCCATCATTTGCAGCTATCCGAAAAGTAACTGGCGTAATTATTGTTGAAAAACTAACTTGGTTGAAAGATAGTAAGGAGACTAAACTCCCTGTGAAATTATTCTTTCTGGGAAGCTGTCATTTTGAAGTAATCAACGACAGAAGGCATTTCCAACGGTGATTCTTAAGAAGCACCGTAGGAAAATTTAAATTAGTAGTTCGTTTTGTTATTCAGCGCAGCGCGCACAAGTATTCGAACGACGCACACGCGCGCGCGGTTGTTATAATTCGTCGGATCAGTGCGCGACGTCGCGTATAGCTGCAATTCAAAACAATTCAAAACATGATTCAGTAACTTTTGATTTGAAATTGAGATCTTAAAATGCTGTTTTTCTCGGAATGTACAGCTGAAGCTTAGCTGAAACTTAATCAGGTTAGTTGTTCAGTATCCTTCATTAGATTTTGAACTCTTTTGTTGCTTCAAACGAACAAAATGCACAAATTACAAATGATGGACTCTACCTTTAAACGGGTGCGAGCGCACAAAAACCTCTGGCTGGCTTGCCTGAAAGTTGCGCATGGAAATCTATGGAAATGATCCATGCCAGCCGTCCGTCTTGAAACGTCACAATGCAAAATAATAGTGACCTTCACAATACAACTCTCTTCTCACCTGTATTGACCCTATTTCTAATTTCTATTGTATTTTTTTTTTTTGACAATTACAATTGGTACTGACAGTTTTATAAGTCATTTTTTTAGGTTCGTTTTGGTCATTTTTTGGGGGGGAGACTGACGGACCGACCGACCGTTCGACCGACACCAAAGTGACTTGTTGAAGCACTGTGCCAGGTGCAGAGCTTAAAAATGGCAAAATGAAAATTGAAAATAAGGTTAAATGGGACACTAGGTGAATTTCCAAGGATTGTATAAAAAGATACACTACATGAACTCTTTAAATTGCTTGCTTGCTTGGATGTACAGATTTTCGCATGGAATGGAAAATAATTAAAAATCCCTTTAAATTTGTTTGTCTTTTTAGAATTCAGAGCATGTGGCATCAGGGATGCACAGACAGGAAACCGTCGACTGCTTGAAGAAATTCAATGCTCGACGCAAACTCAAGGTAAGAAAATAGAGAGGAGAATCCAAATGAAGATCACTGGCCACTGATCTCTACTGACTGGATAGCACATTGAGATCACAGGCTGAAGTCGTCGGAGGCCATATTTAGAGGCCAAAACGTATACACAACTGTGCACTGTACTGTGCGAGGGATGTACATAGAGCCAGCCATGTTGGGAGGCCAAAGTGACTCGCTGCTGTGGGTGCTTTGCTGCTTTGTGCAGATCAATGGGCACATGCACTATCCAGCAGTCATTATGTACATGTAGCTGTTGGTAGCTGTGGCCATGTGGGCTTGTGTGTTGAACTAATTCGGGCGTTTCACAATGCAGTGCGCCACCAACAGTTTGCCATGGAGAGTCCATTATTCAAGTTTACGGTCGACAAAACATGGCCCATTTGAACGAGTGTCAGTAGACAACGAGCTAATTTTTGTTAGAGATTTGGCCATAGCGTTCAGCCGCCTTACCAAAAAACACCATATTGATAAAAGGCAAAGAAAAGGGCAAACAGATACTCGAATCATGCTTACAAAACTAATGACTAGAAAAAAACTAACAATTTCAAATGTCCCGCACTGCGAATTTGTCGACCATTGCCCACAATGCACCGGGAAAAATGAACTCTCTGTGGCGCATTGCATTGTGAAATGCCCGAATTGTATTGGCAATAGAACAGATTGTGTGTTTCAGTCCGGCCTGTGCGCTTGTGGTGCCTGTGTTCTTAGGCAAGACACTTTGTCATGATTTCTCTCCATCCAGGAGTAAAGAGTTGTACCTTGAAAAGCTGAGTTGGTTCACAGACTGGTCACGTTGGTAGAACAACTGTGCCAAGGATGATGTTCAAATCCAGCTTTGCCAGTTTTTCTTCAAGTTGTTAGTTTGCCGTTGTACTTTAAGTTATTTTTAAACCGAGGCTAGGAAAAGTTTCCGTTAACCCTAACCCTCAATCCTCCAAAATCATCCTGGCTGTTTTTGAGGATTTTGGAGGATTGAGGATGAATGCAATCTACAATTTGGGAGGATTTTGGAGGACTGAGGATGAATGGTGCTGAAGCATACCGGTATGAGGATTTTGAAGGATTGAGGATGTGTGGTGTTTGAAGAAGAGGAGGATTTGGGAGGATTGAGGCTGAATGCATTTTGAGAGGCAGGACCGTCTGATGATTATAAAGGATTGAGGCGCTGGGTATCCTTCATTTGAACATAAGTGCACAATTTTGGAGGATTGAGAATGAATGGTGTTTGAGAAACATGAGGATTTTGGAGGATTGAGGATGAATGGTGTTTAAGAAACATGAGGATTTTGGAGGATTGAGGATGAATGGTGTTTGAAGAAGAGGAGGATTTTGGAGGATTGAGGATGAATGGTGTTTGAAGAAGAGGAGGATTTTGGAGGATTGAAGATGAATGCATTTTGAAAGGCAGGACTGTCTAAAAAATTTGAAGGGTTGAGGCGCTGGGTATCCTTTATTTGAACATAAATGTAAAATTTTGGAGGATTGAGGATGGTTCCTAGCAGAAAGGGCCTAGAGGGATAAGGTTAAGGGCATCATTAGTGACTCTAGGAGTCAGTCAGTCAGTCAGTGTGAATCAGTCGGCCAGAGCACTCCAGGTCCAGCAAAAATCCACCTGCCTTTTACATGTAGATGACTTTGATGGCGTGAATCGCGTAAACATTGAGAATACTTTTCTTATTGGTCTGCAGGGAGCTATTTTGACAACTATGCTCGCTACCAGGAACTTCTCCAGTAAGTATTCAACCCTTTGTACTTCTTTTAACGTTCATACCAAAAAGTGAATTGTTTTTTGTGTGTGTGATGTGAAACAGACAAATGAAAACAATCTTTCCTCATCTTTTTTTGGAAAATTTGTTGTGTTTGCCAAGTTACCGATAGGCATTTTGATATTGAAAAACAGACAGGGGGAGCCTATTTCTTAACAGACAAGCAAAGAATGTTATGCAAGCTGTACAGAAAGGGAGGAAAATAAATGGTTGAAGACATTGAAGTATCTTGAATTTGAGAGACACAAAGTGAATTATCCATTTCTTAAAAAAAAAATGACAGCTTAACGTCTGTAGACATTACACTGCACTTCTTAGCTTAGTACATTGACAAAATTATTTTCTAAAGAGAGACCATCAAGCTGAATTTATTCCAGCAAATTGTCAATAACACCTGAGTTGTATTCTTCCCCGATTGAATGTAGAGATTTCCTCCACGACTGTAAAAAATGCTATTGCTCGTAAGTACGGGTCTACGACAGAATAGAATGCAATCACTAGGTCATGCCAGCTTGCATATTTCAGAACACTGTTACTGTTAGAACACTAGCGTAGGCCAGCTCAGTCACAAAATCCTGACAAAAATCTTGAGTTGGTTAAGCACCCCTTGTTCTTGAGCACTCAGAAAAGATGACATTTTGAAGAATGGAAGAACAAAAAAAAACCAAATCTCAGATTTTGCTGTATTTGTGAATGAGTTGAAATTACACACAGTCTATGAGAAATGGCTACAGCCACTACCATAGTCGCGTGTGTACTTCAAGTCATAGCCAAATAATTCAGACACGGCTAAGTCTCTTCTTGAATGTGATTGAGCTGCCCTTTTGACCTTTCATGTCATAGTACTTTGACCTTTCATGACCTAGTATTGGACCTTTCATGACCTAGTATTTGACCCTTCATGACTGCAGTCCTATAGATTTGCAAGTTCACTTGTCAATGTTTCCATTTCAACTTGACCCTCACTTGAAATGCTGTACCATTAACACCAATTTCGTCGTGATTTGTGACTGGGTCTGGATAAAACAAAATATGGTAGTCAAAAAATAACATTCAAAAAAATCTACAAGTTGCTTCAAAACAAATTTGCAGACTGCGGTAGATAAGAAGACTTGACTTTGCTTTCAAAAATAGTTCGTTTTTTTTTTACTTCCGGGCAATAACAGCAAAAAGGTATTTATTATCTGGTAACGAAACTCTTGTATATTTTTTTTCAATGTTTTGGTGACTTTGGCAAGAGTTTCAAACCCGGTCGTTTGTAGAGCAGCTATCTACTTCAATATAGAATTCAATATGAACTTTAAAATGAGCTTGAAGGTACATGTTCATGGAGTTGACTGGGCAGAGTTGATCCAAGTAGGAAGGTAACGAACTATTTCACAGAAAGCTCAGATTGTTTGTTTGATTTCAGGACTTCAGCATTTCAAAAGTCACTTTGTTGTATTTGTGAGGGTTTATTGCATTTTGGAAAATAAACACTGCAAAAAAAAGAAGAAGAAAGTCAGCACTCTTTGGAGGGGTCATAATTTTGAATCTGACCATCTCATGATGACGTCATTTTTATAGACCTTTTGCTACCGGTAGCTACATTTTGATACCTCCTTTGCTATCAAAGGCTGTAAATCGTCCAAGATTGAAAATGGAATATGAAAAATGATGCAGTTGGAAAAGTTGCAATTGAAAAGATTACGCGAGGAGAAATTGCTAAGCGTAACCACACATGCCCGTAATTGGCCCCTATCGTAGGCACAGTGCCCAAACAAAGTGCGGGTCATTCGAATAGCCCGCTTGCTCCCATGCATTCAAGCACTGTGCGATCAATATTCCCTGGCATTGGTTTCGGGCAGTGTAACATTGTCACGCAGCAATTTCCACTCGCGTTGTCTTTTACGACGATCAGATTCAAAATTATGACCCCTCCAAAGAGTGTGGACTTTTTTGCGGTGTTTAGTAAAGAGGTCTTGGAATGATTGAGAAATTAATGTGAAATGATTGTTGAAGTTGCAAGAGCCTCTCATTTGCTATTCAAACATCTCTTTATACTTCTGAAGTATTTGTTGTAACGGCAACAAAGTTTAATTTTGCGTCAGCAATGAGTTATCTGCAGAAAGAAATTTGCTTCAGAAGACAAACACCCACTAAACATGCTGAATAAAGAACACTTGCAGTAAACGTTGTTGTAGAGAGTTCTAATCGTCAAGTTTAATTCCTCAGAGGAGAAACACGCAAAGGAACCAAAGTTGAGTATGTTGTATTTGACATTCATGAATCTCTCTTCAGAAATAACCAGAAGCTACAGAGAAAAAACGCCAATGACTAAATGTTTTCTCCCCAGAGAAAAAAATGTATTAAATAAATGATGTATTTTTCCCCCGTTTTCCCTTTTTCTTTTCATTATCTACCCACCCTCGTCACCCAACGTACCAAATGAGAGAATGGTCCAGTAAGATACAGACATTTTTTTATTTCTCTGGTTGAATTTATTGCCTTCATTGGGAAATACATTTCTTTTCCTTTGTTTCATTTTTTTTTTCCCGTTTTCATTCCTCTGTTCCTGTCGCTCTCCTCTTTTTTCGCATATATTTCTTGAACCTGCCTTGACTTGTTGCTACCGTTCCTTTCTGCGGGTTTGAGCCACAAGAATCAGAGCCAAGGTTAGGGCTTTTCGGTGACAACTAACCAATTGCTTGTCCTAATTCCAGAATTAATCTGCATCTTGCACGAATCAAAAACAGTAGAGGAGGTTAAAAAAAAAAAATTGGTAATTTTTCCCCAGTCTCTACTGCAGCCATCTATTCTTGGCAGTTGTCCCAAATAGTTGGGTGCCTTAGGTTGTGTGATTCAGAGATTAATATTGGTGTCAAGGAACCTGTCCAAGATGGCCGCAGTTTGATCAAACTCTGTAAATGGAGGTTTCTGAAATTTGAAGACAAAAAACTTATATTGGGCATGTTGGGTATACTTACCGTTGTGTATGCATCTTAGAAACATACCATTAAGTCGTACTTTTTTTTCTATATTAAAAAAAGAAACAATTTATTGCCACAACTTACATTGGATTACATAATTGGTGCTCAACAGGGTGGAGATATAACCAAAGTTGTGATTCAGTCCTTGCTGAGACATTTTAAATCCAACTTTATCTCGTCTTTGAGATGACTCAGTTTATGTAAAAATAACGAATTGATCCGAAACGTGAATAATAAATGACTTTCAAGTGATCTACTTTTTAAGGAAATGACATTGAAATGACTCAGAAATGACTCGATAACATCTATGAATATAACATGAATTAGCTATGTTTCATCTTGACTGGTGCTGTGCTCTTGGCATGTATTGTGCAAGACGTGATTCCAATGATAGAGATGCCGATGCTATCATGTTCATCATTCTAATTGTAATTTCATTAGGTCTGCTAATGAATTTTACACAACAGCCGCCAAGATTACAGTACCAGCGCACCTGCATGTGTTAACCAAGGCCATAAAGACAATTACTAAATCTTTAAAAAAAAACGAAGCATTAGATTTCATTAAAGAACTTGTGATGGCTTTTTGTAGGAGCGGTGTAGGGCTTTTTTCTTCATTGGTATTTGAAGTTGACTCTTGCATGAGTTTTTTGCACATATTACCAGTATTTAAAGGAAACGGTGCAAGGGAGTCCTTATTCACTTTAGTTCTTTACCAGTGCAATTTTAAATGTGAATACTACAGTGAACTGTAATTGACAAAAGTGGAACCAAAGATTTGATAGTTTATTCCAGTGACTCCTGCATTAATATCTACCACTTAAATGATGTACTAAAGGAAAAAAATGTGTTGAGCCGAACCCCCCCCCCAAATAAAACCCAACCCAATAAACAGTGGATGTCATTGTGATGCACATCAATATGATGTGATATGTGATGCACATATCTTCAGGTTTGATTAATAGCCAAACAGCTTCCTTATTTTAACCTAGGCATGCTCCGCCCTTTTCACTTTTTTAAACACTAGATCAGGTTTTGTTCTAGGCTGAGAAAAACCCCAGAGTTACCACTGAGCTGTGAATATTAAAACCAAAACATCACAAGACCTAAAGAATCTGACTTGTGGAGTGAAATTTATACCCTCACGGTCCAAGACTTCCTCCGAATAATAAGAATAAACTCCTTTTTTTTGTTGTAAGAATTTTTTTTTTCAAGAATTAAAATCAAGGTGGAATATTCAACCTTTGATTCACAGATTTGCAAAGAATTTTTCCTGAAAATTGTTTTTCCAAGGTTTTTTGAATGACCAAGGAATGCTTAGTATGGCTTCCTCATGCAAACATGTACATGTGATAATTCTATAAATTGAAGATTTTCTGTGGGATCTTTGTTTTTCACCTGTGGCTGCTTCTATCATTTATTTTTAACACCTAATACAAAACAAGGGCTGCAAAATATGAACAACTGATATTGAGATTGACGTTGTGTGCTTCCCTAATTCAAAATCCATTGTATTTTTTCTGGAACTTTTTTAGATTTTCAAAATTGTTGTCGATTTTATAACTCAATCGTCACAATATACAGATTTTTCCCATAACAAAAAGAATTATATCTTCTTTGTATCTTAGGGAAGGATATTTTGTAATTTGGCATTATTTGTACGTACATTTGTAATGCTTCAGACGAATAAATCTGAAATAGAATATCATATTTATTCTGTCAACTGTAGCCCCACAGGGCATAGGTGCACAGTTGTCGTTGGATTTTTCAAAGAGGTTTTTTTCCCTTCAATTGTTGTGTCATTACCCTTCCACGTACGTGTCATTTGTTTGTATTTCCTGAGACATTTTTCCCGAAGCAAAAAACCCTTTCTCAAAGCAGTCACACTCTGTCCCCTTTGCCCTGCGTCGCTGCAGTTGATTCGTAACGTGAAATATTTGGACTCTAGATGAAACTGTGTTGTGTCATTGATGTTTCCGGTGTTTTTTTCTTCTCTTTCCTCCCCCCCCCCACCCTCCCCACCTCTTCTGCTTCTGCTGATGTAATCATCTCCCGCTCTATGTTTGACCTTACTTCTCTTGATTTTCCCCTTTTTCCGTTTCTTATCTACCGGTAATTCTGTGAATGCATCACCATTCATCCTCTGTCCTAATTCTTACTTTTGTTTTTGTCCTATCCATCATATTCGTCTTGTTTTCTTTTCCTTGTCATTTAACGAATCCGTCTCATTGACGTTTGATATTATGTCTTGTCCAATCTTCGTCTTGATTGTGTTTCCCACATATTGTCGTGTCCTTGTTTCCTCCTCAACTCAAAACGTCTTTCATCTGTTTCATTTCCCAACTGTTCACCCCTGTATCTGTTGTTTAATCCTGATTGTAATTTTGGCCTTCTCTGTACCTTATTTCCATTGTCATGTTTTCGTCATTTCCGTCCATATTGTCTCCGGATCACTGTCCGTTCATCATCTCTTACATGTCATTTCAATGTCCGATTTCTGCCTGTTCGTCGTCTCCACCATATATCCGACTCTCAAATACTTCTGTCTTTTCACCGACTCCTCTTTGCTCCTTTCCCTGTCAAACTTCTCTCTTCCTTTCCGCGCCCCGTCTTCCCCTGAACCCTCTCCGTTTTTTTATCGTTTGCATCCAAGGCTCTCCGCAAACGAAATCAGGTTAGCCTCTCTCTGTAGTTGTCTGTGGTTTTTGGTCTTGCATGCAGCTTGCTGTCTTGTGTTGTGTGCTGCTGTTGTTTTTAAATCAAGCCGTTCCAGCCGTTGACATCATTACACAGTGGCCATCTTTGATTGAAATACTAAACAACAACAACAACAACAACAACAAATTTTAAGATGAGCATGGCATTCAAACTGGGTCCTGAAATAGTCGGGTGCCTGACACATATTTGGTCCCAATTACAGTTTAATTCAAAGGATCCTTCGGGAACTAGTCCAAGATGGCCACAGTGTGAGTACATAAGATATTTTTGGATTGACAGACTGTCATGGCTGGAATGGCTTCTCAGTTTTGTGTCCAGGCTGTTTGTTGTGATTGTGGTAAACACGTTAAACTATTACACACACCAAGTAATATTTGACCTTTGACATCTCAAGCAGTGGCCATTTTGTTGTGATCTATATTTGGGTCTTTACTAACGAAGCTTGGCCGGCAGATCAATTAATTTTTCTAAAGCAATTTTTTATCCCATTAAAGATTGAGTTTGCCATCAGCTCAAACCAAACTTTTATTTTTATTTTCAAATGCAGAGTTCTAATGCACTTGGAATGTCCAAAGGATTATATCAAAATTATGAGAATATGTTTGAACCCATTTTGTTTCATTTTAATCATTGCTGCAACACAAATGCTTGATGGCTGCATGTTTTTACTTTGTGTGCGCCGGAGATGGCAACTGCTTGAGATTGTTCACAACATTAACTGCACTTGTTGCGCATAACTTGTGACACGGTGTTGTGGTTCTCACATTGATATACTCATAATGGTTACTCAAATACCCTTTTTCTGGACTCATACTCATGAGATGGTACTCAACTACAGCCTTAAGGTTGTAGTACCCATTAAGCTTCTGAGGTTGGTTCGTCAGCCATGTGAGTGGGAGCAAATTTGATTTCACACAACTTAGGCGCTGAACTGTGTCAGAATTGAACATGTGTTTCAAAATGTGTATCGCAAACGCTTGCGATAACATTGCAAATTTGCATCCGCGTTCACTTTCTCACTGACTACGAACTGGCCTCTCATGTTCTTGTTCTTGGGAACATTTTGTCCGTGCTTATGAACCCTACATGTAAAACACTGTTGGGACACGTACAGTGGCCTTGATTTTGTTATAATCAATGACATCACTGTGAGTCGTGCAGTCTTTGTATTTAATAAGAATGTAATGTCACCACCCATCAATTGGCCGCTCACCATGCACGCTGCACGTATTTTATCTAAAAGTTGATGAACCTCATGAATAGCTTGACTAACATCGTATTTGATATCGGTCTATTGTTTTTAAGGCATTATTCATTGCTTTCCGAGTATTAACTGAACATTTATTGGTTGGATTAAAAATTAAGTCAGTCTGCTTCCCTGACTCTTCCCTCCCTTCCCCCTCTCAATTCAATGGTAGTAAGTAAAGTAAAGTCTGTCACGAGCCAATGTGCCCGGTTTCAGTAGCATGAAACAATTGAGTATATTTCTACTCCCCCTGGATGGGATGTTACTCCATCGCAGATTACTCCCCAGCTAATGCCCGTACCCATTTATACTCCTGGGTGGAGAGAGGCAAGTTGGGGTGAAGTGGCTTGCCCAAGGACACAACGTATGGCCAGCAGCTGGATTCGAACCCCTGACCCTCTGATCATGAGTCACAAACCCTAACACTAAGCCACACTCCTCCACACCATTCAATGGTACTTATACCAAAAGCATTCAACAAATTATTATTAAAGTTGGTTGGATTCTGACAACAACTCTTTGATTCGAACTTAAAGACTTTTATGCTCTGTATGTCTACAAAGAGCAGACAAAGCATTTTTAATTATGGTAATTAGTATTTCCGATTCCTGTTTGTGATTAAGCACTTTTTGTGCTCAGTAATTGAAAAAGTAAAAGTTTTGACATCTTACAAGAATGTTATAGTAACATTTTATAGACCAGACCAATCCATTAGGCTCCACCCACTGTGCATATAATCATGGCTGTGATTGGTCAAAACACCATGGGGGCGGAGCTTAATTCAATTCAATTCAAATTCAAAAATACCTTATTTATCCTTAAAAAAGGCAATTACATACGGTTGACAGCTCATTAAAAACAGGGCCCATGACAGCAATTAAAAAAAAGAGAGGGCGCTGTTGCTGTGATGTCATTTCAGGAAGACTCTGTCCAGTTCAGGGGCTTTCTGTTAAAATTGTGAACCCAAAATTTACTCATTAAAAACATTTTGCGAGAAAACTTTGCTCATTAGATTATTGTCACGTACTGAATTAACAAATCAACAAAGAAAACATTTACGACAGCAAAATATCCAAAATTCTGGCAGTTTTGTGCTGAAATAGCTGTAACATTGAGTTTTCTGCCTGAAATGACATAACACTTTCAAGCGTGAATATACAAATTATCATGAGCATAAAAACCGAAACGGCACCAAAATGCCCTTAAAAATAGGTTAAATGGGACACAAAAGTGCATTTACAAGGACTGCATTAAAAAAAGTACATTACGTGGGCCCTTTAATGGATCGGTCTAAAGTCGACACAAAACAGTGTCGCCGCTATCCCAAGATGCGTGCGACGTTCCTTCTGTAAGCACGTATAATGGATAACCACTGGAAAGTTTGTGTACTGCGTGCATGTTCCATGTGCGTCTTGCACCCCACATTTTCGGCCTCGTGGAATGTGGGACACAGACCACTCGCACCTTTGGTATAACTAATGTATTCAAACATGTCATAAGGATATCAAACTTAAGGAAATGAAACTAAATTTACCTTTTTTTTTGGTTAATCACTGACTTGTTAATATCAGATGTTATCCTCCTTAGTTTGACTAACACTTTGGCCAAGATGTTCCACACGAGTTGATTTATATTTGTCAGTTTTGAAATAACTGTAATTTTGTTCGTGATATTTGCTCATAACAAGTAAAAGCCAATATCTTTTGTTTAAAAAAAACCTGTTTTTGAGATTTCTTGTGTTAACTAATCAAAAAGTTCTGAAGATTTATAGCCTACATAAGTTGATTTTCCAAAACCCAAAGAGGCAATTTCAAATAGTGCCATTGGTGCTTTGCCGTGAACAATTAAACTTAAAATATATATATATTGCCTGAGGAGTCATCTCAATGGTTATCCTGGAATTTTTTGTCCAGTAAAATCTGCTTGGAATTTTGGTGGGAAAACTTTAGGGCAGAATGCAAAATTAAACAAGGAGTAAATCAAGGTTTTACCCTGAGGTACCCCAGAAAACCGTGCTAAACCTCGTAAAACCTTCAGGTAAACCTCGAGGTAAACCTCGAGGTAAACCCATTTTTCTCAGCTTGTTTTTTTTAGATGAGGTAAACCTCGAGGGTAAACCTCAAGGTAAACCTCGAGGTAAACCCATTTTTATCAACTTGTTTTTTTTTTACGTGAGGTAAACCTCGACGTTAAACCTCAAGGTAAACCTCGAGGTAAACCCATTTTTCTCAGCTTGTTTTTTTTTTTACATGAGGTAAACCTCCAGGTTAAACCTCAAGGTAAACCTCGAGGTAAACCCATTTTTATCAACTTGTTTTTTGGTTTTTTTTTTTACATGAGGTAAACCTTGACATTAAACCTCAAGGTAAACCTTGACATTAAACCTCAAGGTAAACCTCGAAGTAAACCTTGAGTTACCGCCTGTTTAATTTGCATTCTACCCTTATGTGAAAGCCGCAACTTGAATGAGCAGAACTCTGATATTATTCAGCGAGATTAGGAGGGTGAAGGGGGAATGTCCACACAATGGGAGACTTTTTTAGACGGTGGTGGCAGCGAACACACCGGCCCTTTTGTTTACGTCATGTTTAAGCTGCGCGCATGCTCAATATGACGCAAACAATGGAAAAGGGACTGATGAGTTTGCTGCCACCAACGTTTCTAAAGTCTTCCATTTGTCTCGGCTTGTTCTTTTTAGATGACTCTGTAGGACTTCACCTGAACCCTAACTCAGTAGGCATATTTGTCTGGTAACCTTCGCATATCAGCAAATATCCAGCACCCTGAAGCAACCCGTGGACTTTCTTGGTGCATTTTTTTAAAATGGGGATGACGAAACCCACATGAAGAAATAGTGGCCGAGGCATACATACTAGGAATCCATTAAACACCATCAAAAACCAGTCATTGGATTTCAGACAGATTATGGAAGAGTGGGGGTTATTTATGGCCTAACAAATAACAGTACTTACTACTTAACTTAACAGATTTCTGTTGTAGAATGTGGCTTGTGTTTAACTTTATTAAGACTTTGAGATGAGTCTTACTTTTAGACAGTTGACCATAAAGAGGGAAGGAAGGACATTTGAGTCTAAAAATCACCATCTTTGTTTGCACTGGTTGGCTACCACACCACATGCATGCATAATGCGTGTACGGCCAAATGCATGGGAACCAGTTATTTTTGATTTCTTTATTTAAGCAGATGCTTTGCTACACGCAAGGGAAATATACCTGTGTAAAAATTTGTTGCTAAATAGATGTTTAAGTCTTTTGGTACTAAAACTAAAAACTTCAAGTTAACAACAAAAAAAACAACCCAAAACATTAATGATTGAATGCATGTCTGTTACATGTAGGACTAAAATATTCTGAATAAAAATGTGGCTCATTCCTACACTTTTGCTCTCATCTGCCCTGCACTGTATGCACGCAAATCTCTCGCTGCTTTGAATCTCTACTGCTTCTGCTTATTCTTTCCACCTCATGCTTTCGTCCAATCTCGGACTTTACATGTACCTAACACTTTTTCCCTCTTGTTTTGTGTACGTAAAGTACAACTCCTTCGCATGTTTGGATTGTTTCCATGGATGTTTTTTTAAAGGGCCCATGCAATGTGAATTTTTTTTAAACACCTTTGTGTCCCATTTAACCTTATTTTCGATTTTTCGTTTTGCCATTTTCAAAGGTGTTTAGGTGCCGTTTTGGTTTTTATGCCAATGCAAATTTGCATAATCATGAGCAAAAGTGTGATGTCATTTCAGGCAGAAACCTCAATGTTACAGTTATTTCAGTACCACAAGTTGCCAGAATTCTGGCTATTTAGCTGTTGTACATTTTTTTTTCTTTGGCGATTCGTTGTTGTGCCAGTACATGGCAGTAAGCCAATGAGCAAACTTTTCTCACAAATGTTTTCAGTGAGCAAATTTCTGAGTTCACAATTTGAACACAAAACCCCTAAACTGTAAAGTGTCTTCCTGAAGTGACATCACAAGCAACAGCGCCCTCAGTTGTCCAGAAAAGCATGGATCATTTTGGATGTTTAAAGGGTTGCAGTTTTTGATAAAATCAACAAAAAAAGGGATAGTTTTCATACATTTAAGAGGAGGAAAAAGTTGCACACAATATGTTCCTCAAAAAAATTCATTGCATGGACCCTTTTACTTGTGTGTTGATTAATATTGATATTTCAAATTTTTTCCCCATCTTTTTGGCATGATTGTTTCTAAACATTTTATTATTATTTTTTTTTAGCCTGGGGTAGTCACAGGGTTTGAGAATATCCATAACCATTTATCTGGGGTTTGTTAACATTAACATGTAACATGTTACATTTTGGATTAACATACTGAAGTCATACGTAGGTGGTCTGTCATCTGCCACGAGGTTGCTCAACCAGATCCCATTTCATAATGCATTGATCTAAAGTCTCGTCTCCCACACATTGCAGTGAACCTCTCCCTGCTGCGTAGTGCAGAAGTAGAATTTGTTCATTTACAGAAATTGCTTTTTTTTTCCAGTCAAATTTGGAAAATTAGTTGACGTTGGAGCTTTGGTTCCAAGTTGCAGTTGCACATTCTGACGTAATTTCTTCAAGTTTTGGAGGGATTGTGGAAAGAATTCTTTTTACATATTCAAGAAGCAAAATTTTATACATCAGTTTATATTTTTAAGTTTGGAACCACTTTTTGCTTTAGTGAGAGATGAAGTTTCAAACTGATTGTCTAAATCTAACATCATCCAAAGTCCTGTCATACATTAAGAACAGTTGAAACTTACAGTAGCTACACTAACGCTGTTTCATGTAGTTCATTTTGGGAGTCATCTTTTCATAAATAGATAAATCACACTGGTATAATTTAACTGTTTTGTAGCTACGCATCAAACAGCAGTCTGTTACCCATTCCCCCGATTTCTAGTTGACATTTAGTTCTCAGAGCATGCCATGTTTGTACACAAAACAAAACTTCCAGATTTTCCCCTGTGTGTTATTGATTTATTTTTTTACCCACTGGTATTAGAATGTCCTAGAGAAATGTCCTGTTGCATGCTGGGAAAATATGGAAACAAAAATGACCAGCAAAAATAATATAAGCTTATCTGAAAATACACAAAATAGCTCACACACCATAGGCGGTATAACCCTGGATTTGTTAAAAATATGTTTAATTCCTTTTTTTCCTTCTCGATATTTATCCTTTTTTTTTCTTTTTCTTTTTTTCTTTTTATGAATTTTTAATTATAGTACACAATGTATGTGAATGCACCAATTACACAAAAGTTATGTTGATATTTAAAACGCTTTTTCCCCCCTCGTGTAGCACTTGTCTTCATGTGATTTAAATCATGTCTTACAATTTTTGTTTATTCGGTGCGTCCTTTTGTCAAATTGTCAAAAGCCTCATGAACGTTTTTTTTATTTCAAAGTTGATTTGGTTTTGTTGAGTGGATGATATATCCCACGTCAGTTCCTCTCAGAAAGACTCTTATCAAATAAATGACGGGACCAAAAGGAAATAATTTTTAAAGCATATTGTTTTTGCTGGCCATTCCTGTTGAATATTGCCCATCCAGTTTTGAAATCCATCACAAACGGAGAAAACAAAGTACTTTGGGGGAAAAGGACTAATCAGTTTCATATAGGCCGCCATCTTTGTTCTTACACCGGTGTCAACAAAGGGTCATTTGGTTGTTACATGCACAATTTTCACTTTAATCCACCATCATCTTTTTTTAAATTTTTTTTATTTGTTTGGTTAATGGACATTGGACTTAGTTGCACTAGTATTTTATTGTGCCCTATGTATTTTTGATTAGGTAAATATTTTCTCTCCATTATTCCTTCTAGTCAAGTTCATTACACCATTCTAAATCCTTTGAAAGCATTTTTACAGTTTTTATTTCTTCACTTTGTACATGTTAACAAGGCATTCTTTTTTCGCATTTTAAGTTTTTCAAACATTTCAATGTTTAATTTTAAGATTTTTTTTTTAGCCAAATTTTTAAGTCGGCTATTATTTGGAAATTTTTATTTTGATCAGTTGAAGGCATAATCTCCAAAAAAAACCAGGGAATTTTGTTCAAAAATGAAATTGGAGATTGAAGTTTCCACTGGCGGTGGTCCTCCCGTTCGGAAAGTTTTCAAAGCAAATGACTGGATGTGCAAGAACAAACATGGCCGCCAGCGTGAAACTGACGAGTCGTCGTTGTGTAACAATATCCTGACCTCTGACCTCATTCTCTACTTGTTTTATCTCCTATCACTCGTTGCTGTCCACACACAGGGGAAAGTACGGAAAAGGGTAAGCACGGGCCTCGTTGGTTGTATTTTGGGCTCTCATCAGACAGGAAACTAGAATCAATATTTGAAAGGCCCGAAGGATCATTTGCTTTTGTCACATTCGGAAAAAAACGCAAGACTAGACTTTCGAAAAAAAACACACCCCGTGAAATGTTTTATTCCGGCACGTTCTCATTGGAGATACAAAAAATTGTAGGCAACAAAAAGATACATGACTGACACATTTTGATTGTTCTAACCCCTCGACTAATTGGGAGTGCTATAAGAATTGACATACATGTACATGTAAGTGACGTTATATGTCGCTGTACTGCCATGCATTTGAAATGGCGCTTAACCTCTGCTAGTCTGAATATATCAAAATTCAAAGGGTCTTTTTACATCGTACTTCAGATTTTCAGCGGTGTTCAGGAAGTTGTTTAAAAAAAAAATTAATGTATAATGATCCTATGGGCCTTTAAAAGGGCTTATCGGGAATTTAACCAAATCGAACACATAACATTAAGCACATGTCTAACATTAATTAAACTCAGAAGTGACAGGGTTAGAGTCAAAATCATAGTTCTAATAAAAAAATCCCAAAAACCTAATGATTTAGTCTAAAAACCTAGCAACTCCCTTATTTAACATTATATTTGACAGAAGAATTAAACTCAACCTCCAATAGCCCTAAGCTTTTTTCCCCCCATACTTTATGAACTTAATGAAAATTCAATGAAAGGGAATCCTCATTAAAAAAAACAACACACACTTAAACCAACAGTATGACCACATTTCATAGGAATGTTTTTTTTGCTGTGACAATTTATTTCTTAAAGAAAAGCTTTTGATCCCAGTTCCTGATATAGTTAAATAAAGGCTATGTCCATCTTTAGCGTGATATCTCAGCTGTACGATTGCGTAGTTTCTGACAAAATTCAAATTGCACTGTATGTTTAACACCTTCTGTGGTTGAGCTAAAAATACTTGGTTCACAGAACATTTCTCAAGGATATCTCAGTTTTTTGTGGTTTTTTTTTTTTGCCTCTGACTGCAGTGCAGTTATGAAGAGTAAACATGTATTTTACCCAGATTGTCACAACAGTTTACACATGGAGCGGAATTTTGTTACCATACTCCTAAATTTTTGTTAAAACTAAAAAAAAAGTTTGAAAAGTGGCGACAAGATCGGGTTGTATAGGCATATGAGTTCAACAAAACAGTGGAAAAATCAGGATTAAATCTATAAGTTCTCTTTTCTGATAAAGTAGGCAGCTTTGCGTCAAGTCAAAAAACAGGTTCACATATTTGTCAAAATTAAGGCCATTCTGTAGAGTACAATATGACCCAAGAATATCTCCGTTTTTTATTTTATTTGGAATTTGAGTTGTTTGCAAGCTAGCTTGCATGAATATTGGCTGAATTATACTAACTCATTCATTTTGGAATGATCCTCGTTTTTTGCACCGTGCTGATACATTGAATGTCAAAACCGTGATTGGAGGAAGTTGTGCCAACAGAGGGCGGCATTTACACTGAGCGGGGAACTAAAAGACAAGAGAGTTATTAAAGGGGCTTCTGCTCAGCTGAGTACAGGGTCTAATTTCATGCAGCGCAGGAGCAGCTAAGCACAAAATCTTGCTGAGCAAACATATCAGCGTGGCCACTCCTTGGGATTTTTTCCCAAGACCTTGGGAATTTAGGCCAGCCTTGGGAATGTTTCACTGAGCCTTGGGATTTTTTTGAGTACTGTGAACACACGAAAGTATTAATTGCTCATGCACAAAGTGTTAACTGGAGCACTTTGTGAGACTCATTCACATAAAATTAAGGTCTGTCCTGCTATTTTGATACAATAATCCGGAAATCTCGGGAAATCTTGGGAAATCTTGGGAAATCTTGGGAAATCTCGGGAAATCTTGGGAAATCTTGGGAAATCTTGGGAAATCTTGGGAAATCTTGGGAAATCTCGGGAAATCTTGGGAAATCTCGGGAAATTTCGGGAAATCTCGGAAAATCTCGGGAAATCTCGGGAAATCTCGGGAAATCTTCACAGGTCATCTTGGGATTTTCAAATTTGATGAGTGGCCATGCTGAAATGTATGTTGTTAGCTATCAGTTGAGTACCAGTCACAAGCAATATACATTGCATGGCACTTTGACTGGTAACCAGTTGTTGCTAAGCAAACAATTGCTGCACTTAGAGAGCGTCGTGAACTTGGCCCCAGGTGATATCAGCGCAGTTGCTGCTACGTTGGTATTAATTTAAGGACTTTTTGTGCCCTGCATGATGTACATTTTTGCATCGATTGAAAATTTGCCTCATACATGTACATATTGCGCATGTTATTTATTTATTCTTTTTTTTTTAGTATTAGAGAATACAATGTACCTCATCTTCAGCAGGGAATCCAAAACATTACTAAGATCGGAACCCAGGCCCGAATTACACTCAAGGGACATCGCAATTTTGGGGTCCGCTCGATAGTCCGAAGGTTCAATAGTCTGAAGGTTTATTGACTCAAAAGTTTGATGGTAAAAAAACAAATTTCCCATACCTAGGGATTCATTAGTCCGAATATGAAATAAGTTTTGTTGATCCAAGCATTTGATGCGATAGTCTGAAGGTTTGTTAGGAGTCGGACTATCGAACCTTTAGACCAATGAACCTTCGGACTATTGAACATTTGGACTATCGAACCTTTGGACTATTGAGCAGTAACCGCAATTTTTGCCATTGCCATGCGGAGGCTCTAGTTGTCAGGGATATAATAAAAACAAAGATGCATAATTTTCAGTAAAAATTGCAGTATCCCCCATACCATGCTAAGTTAGCCCATATTTGACATATCACTCTCTGATTATTACTGTCTCAGTCAGTTTGAATGCTGCCCTCTTGTGGCCACTGTCATTGCAGGACGCTATTAATTTTAGAACATGTAGTTGGTGTACATTAATACGGCATGGTGCATCAGTCGGTCAGCAGTGCCTCGGATACGTGTATATAACAGAACAAAATCCAAAGAAAGTGAAATCACTCTGTCAGTGTTCGCCACATTCGGAGCTGACCTCAAATCTAAAAATCCGCACCCAAGTTAATACCAGTCTGATGTATCGATTTGTAAGCAGCGTACTTTTGACCAGCCCTTGCGGGCTTCAAAAATTGCAGCCCTTCATTCCACAAAATGCAGTCAGAGGGAGCAAGTTATTCACCCCTTATTGAAAGCAATTTGCTACTGGTGCCACCCATGGTAGTGTAGAACTTCAGAAGTCAACTAATGCATCACAACACTCCATTTGGCAAAGTAACATAATTTTTGCAAAATTTGAACTACTAAACAAGAACAAGGGACGATTGATAACTTCGTGGCCTAAGGCACAAGGAGATGAGCTGTACAGTTTTGACTGATATTGTGTGCCGTTCAACTTGTTGAATGATTACACAGAAAGTTTGAAGTTACTGTCTTTTCTTGTTTTTCTGTTACAAATAATTAATCCTTGTCAGTCACTGGTTCCTGATAATTCAACCTTGAAAATGAAAGAAAATGGGAAAAATCAGCCATCATGTCCAAAACAATGTTCAAGGTGTCAGCTCGTTGGGTCCCGAAGATTATTGGACCTGATAAAAAATTTGGACTCGGCACAATCAAGGGACAGTTTTGCCATTTTTGAGTTCGTTCGTTCGTTCATTTTTTTCCTTCAATCAAATTTTTCCATTTTTCCATTTTCAGGGTTTAATTCTCAGGAATAGGTAACTGTCAAGGTTACATTATCTGTAACAGAAAAAACAAGGACAGATAATAACTTCAAACTTTCTGTGTAATCTTTCAACAAGTTTAACAGCAAACAATGTCAGTCAAAACTGTACCTTAGGCCACGAACTTATCAATCACCCCTCGCATTTGTAGAGTTTCGGTAGCGTTATCTCTTTTGCATAATCTCCAATGCGTTTCGGACCTTCAAAGAGTTGATCTCTGACTTACTTAAATTTTTTAAGTAGTCCTGATATCCACATGTGGTAGCCCTATCTCTTTTACAGCATTTTTAATAAGTTTTGATGAATGAGCAAACTTTAACTTTCTAAAATGTAACTAGTATAGTTGCCATTAAACGGAAATGGTGTCACTTTCCCTTGTATTTTTTTTTTTCATGCCCCAAATGGTAATATAGGCTATTTTGAGGTATAGCTGATTTAGTTGTGAGGTTCGTAATTTCATTACACCGTGATGGGTGATGCACAGAATGCTGTCTGCACTCTTAAGCGAGAGGTTGTGGGTTAGAGTCCCACTTTGGCAAGTTTGCAACAACAAAAAATCTCGCAAGCTGTGAGACAGTACGTGTTTTTGAAAACTACGTTTAAGGGCAAAGTTGGACCAAGACAGAGAAGATGTTGGAATCTGCTGGTAAATTTAAAATATACAGAAATTTCAATCTTGAATGCAACATTTACAGTGTACATTCCTGCATTCCAAAACTGCTCTTTTTTAAAATCATAATCACTCAAAAAAATCTTCTGCAAGTGCTTTTTTTTTTTAGATTAAAGTACATGTACTCACGCAGATCTGTCGATAGTTCTTCAAGCACTCTTTTCGAATCACAATCTTTCACTTTAAATCTTCCTGAACTGAGCTTTCATGGATTAAAAATATACAGTCATGCAGATTTTCATACATGTACAGCAACCACTCTTGAGTGAGGTTTTTGTCTATAACCGTAGACCGGTGCCAATTACGTGGTTATTCACATTACAGTGATCGTAACTATGGCTTCTGGGCACCATGCAAAGATGGCTGCTGTGTATTTGAAGACACAACATCAAAAAACAAAATGACTGCTGTGAATCAATTTCCATGTCGTGCATCTTTCCTGCAGTTTGATTAAAATCCAGCACGTAAGAATTTATCATCTTCCGATTTTGTAGAAACACATCATCATTATAACCAAGTAAAGCCTGAATCTAAATATACATGTAACTTGCTTGATATCTTCGTTAACATCTTGGGAACTCACTGAAACAAGTTGAAGTCATGCAACAGTCATAAGGCTTGTCTGAATCAACTGGCTGCAGCCGGGAGTAACACACACGTCTATGGGAATTGGCTGTAGCCACAAGCCAGTGGCTTCCATAGGCGCATGTATTATTTCTAGCCGCAGTTGCAACTTTCAGACATCCCCAACCTTGGAAAACTGGCCAATGGTCAATGCTCAATGTATGAATTTGTTGAGCACAGTACGGTATTCAGATGGTCGCGGGTCCAAATCCCACGCAAGTCATTGCAATAATTTCAATGAAACAGATTGTAGTATGTGTTTGTTGGCGCACAACAACTGAGGTTTAGTTTGAACCATGCACAGATAGTCAACAAATGGCTGACAGATTTTCAGTCGTTCCGTTTGCTACTCTTGAAATAAAACCAACAAGCCAACTTTAAAAAAGCACAAGATGGGATGGGGTGGGGTATTGTCCATGACTGCTGCATATTTCAACTCCTTTTTGCCATCTGGGACTGTAGATAACCACTAACAAGTAGGAATTTGACATTATGCCAAACCAACATAACTCTCCACAGTCAAAGCAGCGTATCCAAAAGTCGCAAAGAGTACACCACAGTGGCTGCAAATGCGAAACGCTAACGCTCACCATGTATATCAACATTTTTATTGCCTACCAAAATTTGGAAGATAACCACTCTCATCAGAGTTGGAATTCAGGTAGTTGGTAAAAAGAAAAACAGGAAAAAAATGAGTGTACTGGGCCAAACATTCTACAAGATCATCAAACTTCAATTTTTAAAATGCGAGGAATATGGTTGTGTTGTTTTGACATTAGCTTGTAACCACCTTTTCACTTTTTCATCATTTTTTTCCCCTTCTAATTCCGCCGAATGTTGGCATGAGGTCTTACCTCAATTGTTATTTTTCCCCGCTTCCCAAAGCAGGTGGAAAGACAATGGTCAAGAAGGACAATGACATCAAGGAGTCGCAAGAAAGCAGCGTGGTTGAAGATGATGATGTCAAAGGTAAACATGCAAAGAACAGCGATCAAATTGTGTATGATGGAATGACATCTTCACTAGTGGGGAGGAGGTCTTGGGTTCAACAACCAACCAAGCAAGTTTTGTGAGTTATTTCCTCACAAGATCTCTGACAGCACTGAGTACTCGGTGCAGATAAATGTCCTCATTGAAAGGCAAAACCCAGTATCTTACATCTACATGTATGTGGGCCATAGAGCTATATTAAAATACTAGAGCGCTAACTCATCATTCTTGCGTGCGGAGATACTTTGCAGCCGTCCTGGGCGCAGACATTTTGAATTTATATATATGCGTGTTTTTACAACAGAATGAAGTTAGATGGAGTGAAGTTTGAAAGTGAACTCTGAATGCAACTTAAGCACGTTGGGACGGTTAAAAAACACCACAGCAAAAATCCTCTACAGCGGATTCCCTCGCACGTTTGCATTGTTTGCGCAGAGCAAAATGAAACACTCATTTATTGATTGTGTGTTTCGGTTTTGGGCGTATCGGCTTTGATAACGCACCGGTATAGAATACAAACGCAGATATGCAAATAGCCATACACAATTTTGAGTTTTCCATGGGTTTGTGTGCAAAAATGGATGCGCCCATGGCCAAGCAGGCATCGCATTGTGCATCAAGTCAGCGTTCTAGTAATTTAATATAGCTCCATGAAGTGAGCACACGTTGACTGCAGACATACATTTGTAGCCATAGCTCTGGATGGCAATTTTGGACACAGTCTGACTTTCTGCTTGATTTCATCCCTAGCACGTAAGATGGAGGTGATCAAGGTGACGGAGGCTCTCATAGATGTCATCAACAACGGAGACTTTGAAGGATACACGTAAGACACAGACCTGATGTCATCTTTTGGAGTTTAAGATGTTTCCGACTCGTGTTCCAGAGTCGCGATGAACCTAAGCAACATTAAGAGCAATCCTAGTTGACCTGGATAGACTGTTGGTTTCTTACAGTCAATATTTATACATTAATATTCCATTGACTAAAGTGAAGTCTGAAATCAAGATGCTCTGAAAACATTCTGAGCAATAAATTGTGGCGCATGTGGACTTATGCCATTCCGTGTAAGGTTTTGTGAAATTGGCTGGCCGCTGCAGGTCTATTTAATGATCAAACACACGGCTTGGCTGGATACCGGTTACCTGACCAAAAATGGCTATATTTTGATCTTATGTCCAACTAGAGGTACCTAACATATTTCTAGAAACACATCCTTAATAAAAAATTCAAATCTTTATTTCTTCATCCTTTCCTCAGAAAACTGTGTGATCCGCACATGACCTGCTTTGAGCCTGAAGCGTTCGGCAATTTAGTGGAAGGCATGGATTTCCACAGGTTCTACTTTGACAACGGTACGTTGCTTTCCCGTTACAATCCAGTGCTGACAATTGCCGGTTTTGTGTAACAAGTGTAACACCTGGTTTTATTTGTCCTGTCCCCATGTAGTTGATGTTGGCTGTGTGATTTGTAATCATGTAGTTAATGTGAAGTTGAAGTCAAATTGTTGTAGCGCCATCATGTGTTGAAAGGTGGTCCAAGTTAATGAAATGCACTTTTTGGTTTGATGAAGACGATTGACTAATGTGAGATTCGAACCTGCAACCTTTTCGGGACAAAAAGTCGCCACTGCACACTGATCTTGTACCCAACCTAAGAGCTTCTATACATTTTTACATTAGGTTGATATCAAATAAGTATACCAATTTGTTTGTAGTACTTATTTTAATAATAAAATTTATTTCATGGATCCATGTAAAATTGAGTGCAAAACTCCTGTGAAAAAGTATGTTTCAAAACTTTAGGTTGTATCAAAAGTATATTTTTTTTCAGAATTATAGCCTTTTTATGTCAAACTCTTCTTCAAAAACTGTTTACATTTCAGTCCAATATTAAAAAAAAATTGACTGGATCATGTACCCATCCATTGGCAGTTTACACATTTTAAAACAGAATTACATGAACATTGGAATTTATCAATATGCTTTTAACAAATGAGATATTTACACAAATGAATTTTTTTTATTAAGGAAAACTACTCCTGATTTTGTTAATGTGGATAAGTTCCTCATTTCATTCTTTGGGAAAGGTTTTTTTTAATCAAGATTTTGTGATCGAGGGTGTGCATTTCACCGTTATTGTGTCATTGAGATGTCAATTATTGTATACGCTTTCCATCCATTTGTAATGTTCACAGTTCCTTGTTTTCTCAAAATGGATGTTGGTATGATAGTCTTGTGTGGCGCCCAATGGACCACGTACCCAAACCACTCACAATATGATCACAGCACCTGACCGTTCCCATTTAGTTGAAGTATGAAATGCGCTTTTGTTAAACATTCTCCAGAGGAAAAAAAGATTCTGATTTCATTTTTGGGTTAATTCGCAACAATTCAAACAAGATTTTGGATTTACTACAAATCATGCTATATTATGTGTTACTCTCCAGTATCAAAATCTGTTCTCTATTTATTTTTTTTTAAAGAGAGTTTGTTTATACTAATTATTTTTTGTTTTGTTTTAAATTTTGCAGATCTGTCGGGTAATTTTTATTCTGAGTGAATCTCGGCGCAAAATACACATTTTTTTGGCGTACAATTTCAAAATCTAAAAAAAATTGTTTGCTTGAAATACCAGACATTTTAAAATATTCTTCACTCATTAATCTTTGACCGTTTTGTGGCTGAAGTGCAAAAAGAAAAGAAAAAAAGAGTGAAAGTCTTCTGAAAATGCAAAGAATTATAATTTGTGCAAGTCTAGCTTTCAAGTACTGGTCAAAACAAATGTGGGCTTGTTGCATTTCTTTTGAAGTTTCCCAGCAGGCTTTCGTAAAATGTTTTTACTGACCTATGCAAATTCTACTCTTCATTAAAAAAATACCACAATACTGGCTATAATAAGAAAAGTAGAATGAGCCATGCAGGAAATCAGGACAAATCTGTGGTCGGAAGCCTGTCTTGGTTTTGCAGAATTATTGAAAACATGGATTCGGTTTCAGTATTGGATAACATACGCGGGTTTTATTTTTTGTAAGCCATACTGACCAATTCTTATCACACTTTGAGTAATGAAGTTATCAGGAGACACTAGGGCCACTGGCAACCATTTGCATGAACACAGCATTGATATCGATGTGGAATGCATTAAATGTGATGTCACCTCCCCCTAAGTTCGGTATGAGACTCGGTAAGTCACTTGACGGACGTTTATGCTTTGGAACTGAAAGATATGTGCAAAGTAGAACATATAAAAACCCAGGTTACAAAACCAGTATCACAGTGCTAAGTTACAAATACCTAGCATATATGAAAAAAACTGTTACCCTTTTCTACCAACTTTGCCCCCTCAGTTTAAGCCCAGTTTCAAGGCACATGATTTGCTGCCGCTGTACATATCAAAGGGGGCCTCACCAGTAAAGCAGTGCTAGATCAAACTCACTTTAGATGAAGCATTGGCTGACAAAACAAGGCAAGCCGAGAGCACATGAAATGTTATTCAATCGATTTAGAATCGCTATTCACTGGAAGTCTTTCATATGTGTTCCACACAGTAAGCCAAGTTGTATCCGTGGTCCACCCCATCATATTCTGTGCACAAAACATTTTAAAACTGTCATATCTGTGGTTCAACCTCGTCATCTGAAACAAACTTTTGGGCAAAGCTTAGGCTTAAAGGTAGAGTACATAATATTCATCTATCCAAAAAGTAACTGACACAATTATTGTTGAAAAGCATACTTGTAGTGATGACACTAAACTCCCTGTAAATGTTTTCTTCTGGCATGCTGTCATTTTAAAAACAATAGAAGACGGTTATTTCTAAAGACGCGTTTTTGTAAATTTCCGTTAGTAGTTCGTTATTAATTCGGTGAAGTCGCAAATGGGTGTGCGCAAGCTAATAAAACTGCCAAATAAAACGCTGTCTTTGTATTAACTGTTGAGGTCGCAAAGAGAGCACAACTTGTGCAGGTTTTCCTGGAGCTCACATCAGGAAATTCCTACACTCTGACAGACTCTGTCACATATCAATATACAGTTAAGTTAGTTGAAACTAAATATAAAAGATATATACCCCGGTTTGACTTTTGCACATTAACTGTTCATCCAAAGCATAGAGTCCGTGCCAATGGTAAGTGGTTAAAAGAGTCACCAGTGAAGCTGAGAACTACTTTTTAATCAACCTCCACCTTTCCACAAACTTCAGTTGAGTAGAATTAGTTGACTCTGTGTTCATGCACAGAGTGTTACATATTAACAGAACTTAACCACTTAATTAGTGGATAGTTGTATATGTATCTTAAGTTGGTGGATTCGTTCTGAACTTCACTGTTGACTCTGCCTTTTTCCTTTTTGCATTGCATGCCATGAACCATGAATGACAGGGGTTTTGTACACCGTGCCATGAAACGTTTCCCCTCCAGTTTGCATGCCTCGTGTTAATTTCATGATTTGATATTTTGTGTTCCTTGATGTTTACCAATGGAAATGACAAAGAGACTTGTTCTGCTCAGCAATGATAAAAGTTGCGTAGTCTATTTGGTGGTTGCAAAATAATCCTTTCTCTACATTGCAAGTCCAAGTTGAAAAAATACTGAAAAGCCAGAAAAATCTGCTGTTAACTCAGAGTCAAGAACATACATGCTTATTGGAATGTAGTTCGGTTTAAAAAAACTATGTAACCTGAGCAGGAACTGTGTCTTTTCATTTTTGTTTTCCTTGGGAACAAGTTTAAATACAAATTGACTCTGCATGGACTGTTTTTTTTTTTTTGGAAAAAACGTCAGGACATTTTTTCAACTTCTCAATTTTAGAGTTGTGTTGCTTTCCAAAATTTTGGAAAAAGGGACACCAACTAAAACAAAATCACAGATGAATTTGATTTTTTTAATACCATATTACTTGCACCAAACAATGTCATTTACTCCTAGTTTTTGCTTTGAAAATATAGAATCAGGATTTGACCCTTTTTTGTTTGATTCTTAAGAAATTATTGCTATCCTTCAAAAACAATGTTCTTCTTCAATGTTGTTTGGTGAAAGTAAATGGATTTTTGTAATTAACCTTTAATTAATTTCTATATACATTTACTGATTTGTTTTTCATAATTTGCATGTATTGTAGCAGGATTTTGTTACAACAGCTTGCTCGCCCTGATTCCAGAAAAAAAATTCTTCCAATCAGTTACCGCTACTTTCAAAATGATTTTCGTTGGTGGCAGTTTTGAAAGCCATCTTTTCTTCGTACTGAGCGAAATGTTGTAACAAAGTCACCTGAGTTTTTTTAATAGTGCTGTGCCTTTTGAAACTTTCCAAAAATTCAATTGTTAGAGTTTGTAATCGTTCTATTATCGATTCCTTTCTTTGCCTTTGAAAACATTTCCCCCATGTTGTGTTTCTATCAAATCCAATCCTTCCCCTTCAAATGCAGAAGCTTTAGCAATGAATGACACTTCCAAAAAGACCCTACAAGACCTGCATCTCAGACTAACAAACTATTTTCCCTCAAAAAGAGGAAGGTTAACTGCATGAAGAGTGAACTGCTGTTCTTAACCAGTTTTCTAACATTGAGAACATTCGGTGGCAAGTTTTCTGTAATATTGTGGTGTGTCCAACACAGAGATGACTTACTCAAGAAAGGGAAAAACAGAATTATAAACTACTTTACAGACAATAGAAAATTGATGAGACAAAAAAATTCTGTCCATTACATTATTGATCAAATTTTATTTTTAGACATCGTGAACAAAACGTGAAAAAAAGAAGCAATGGAAAAAAGAGAAAATTGATTTTGAAAATAAAATTTTTGGAAAAAAAAAATGAAATTTTGAACAGCACATTCACTCCAGCTGAGAATAAAATCCATGAAAACCTCCAACCCCACCTATGGCAAGACTACAAAATCCCAAAGTATTCGATAATCGATCGATTATACTTCTCGATTTCTTTCTGAATTTTTTTGTAAAAGAAAACTAGAGACAAACTTTTGTAAAGTTTTTGGTTTCAAATTTGGACAAACAAAAGAGGGCATGGCACTAGTGAACGGTGTACTAAAACCCCTTGTCTGCCTATTGTTCTGGCATGCATTGCTACAGCCTCCGCCCCGTCCTACGCCAGTGGTCCTAGTGGTATCAGTGCTCTAAACATGAAAGAGTCTGAAAAACGCCGTCTGGCTTTTGCCTTTGCAGTACTGTCGAAGAACAACAGAGCGCGCAACACTACCATCCTCCACCCTCACGTTCATCTGATTGGCGACGACGCAGCCTGCATTGCCTATGTCCGCCTCACCCAGTACATAGACCGGTGAGCGTCTTATCTGTTTGTGCTCTTGTAAACAACGCTGCAAAAAAAAAAAACCACACTCATTGGAGGGTCATAATTTTGAATCTGATCATCTTGTGATGAAGACATTTATACAGACTTTTGGGGAATTTTGTTAGCTACATTTTGATACCTCGTTTGCTACCAAAGACTGTAAATCATCCAAGATTGACAACAGCTTATGAAAAATGATGCAGTTTGAAAAGTTGTAAATTTATAGAGTATACGCGAGTGGAAATTGCTGCGTGACAATGTTACACTGCCCGAAACGAACGGCAGGGAATATTGATCGCAAAGTGCTTGTACCGGTATGCATGGGAGCACGCAAAATTGAATTACCCACGCTTTGTGTGGGCACCCTGCAGTCGATAAGGGCAAATTATGGGCATGTTTGTCTGCGCTTAGCAATTTCTCCTCGCGTTATCTTTAACTTTGCAACTTTTCAAACTGCAACATTTTTTACAAACCTTTGTTAATCTTGGACGATTTACAGTCTTTGGTAGCAAACGGGGTATCAAAATGTAGCTTACAACATTCCCCAATGGTCTATATAAATGACGTTATCATAAGATGACCAGATTTAAAATTTTGAACCCTCCAGTGAGTGTGGACTGTTATTTATTTGGCCCAAGTATGTTTGCTGTTTATAACTGTTGCCTTTGTCTTTTAGTTGAAAGTACCCTGTATGTACCAAGTGCAGTTGTCTAAGAGCCAGTTCATGAAGGTGAACGTCGCGATGAAACAATTGTTGACATATTTGCTTGCTTTTGCATGAAGTGTCCGCTGACCCTAAGACTCAAGTCACAAACTAACCTGCTGTAGAACGAATACAGAGACAATGTGCTCGTGTTCCGTTTTCAATGTTATGCTATTTCAAACACATGGAATCATTCTCCCCCTAGTGTTTTTCCAATTCCTGTTCTTTAAAGCAGACTCTGGATACTTTTTGATAGTTGTGATGATGCTGCAATGCTTTTCTGGACGTAATATACACAATTGTTTTTAAAGTGCAATTGCTGTTCTTTTTGCAGCCTGCCATTGCCAGATGCTTTTAGACCGAGCAGGCTTAGTTTCTGTGGGGGAAAAATCATTGAAAATATTGGCATTCGGCGGTTCCCTTAATATTGACAACATCTTGTGGCCTTTCTTCCAGGAACGGCTTACCTGTAACAGCCCAGTCGGAGGAGACGAGAGTTTGGCAACGCAGGGACAACAAGTGGACTAGCATTCACTTTCACCGATCTGGATCTCCGAGTGCCCCCTCCAAATAGCCACACACCCAGAAAAGTTTCTTCTTACCACCACCCAACCGTGTCCCCTGATCCACCTGTTGAACGAGCGCATCCCTTTAAAACAAAGTAGATGTGTTCTTTGGTACAGTCACAGGGTCGGTTCTTTAAAGGGGTTTTTGCCAGAGGGAAGAGAGGTTTTCTCAATTGGGAGAAGGAAAAAAATGCAAAAACCTAGCCAAGCCATTGCATTATTGAGATCCAATCTCATTATTGTGTAATCTTCAAAGCAATGGCTTTCGTTTTTGTCTTTTGTGTCGGATTCAGTCAGAGTATCGTCTTGGCATTTTGAGCCAAAACTGAGGATGACTGACTGGTTGATAGTGAATTTTTTTCAGTTTCTCGGAGATTGTTTGGAGGAGTTGGATCAGTGGATGAAGCCCTTGGGCTGAATATCCAAAAGGATATTACATTTTGGACAGGAAAAGTTTTGGATAAGTTTTGAAAGCCTTGGGCGGAATCAAAACGAATGGTGTCACTTTTTGAAAGGAAGAGATGTATCAGTGCTGACTAAAAGTAGCCTGAAGCGAAGCTGAGAGTCTGTTTTTCCGCGTGTTTAATCTTTGAGATCTTGAAGTGGCAATTTTTCCGGGGGGCTAGGTAGGTTTGTGTTTACCAATTTTTTTAATCCTGTCGTGTCTGTCATAGTATGTTTACAGCCCACTTATGAGGCTTAAATTGAGAATAAGTAGAGATGCTTGAAACTATTTTTTTTAGTTACGTATTTAGTTATCCTCATGATCATTGCCCGTCTTTCCGTATTTTCCTGGCGCTCTTCGGCACTTTTCTTGTTTAGTGATCCTTAATCATCTCAATCCCTCAATTGTACCATCTCGTTCCTTCGTGTTTTCCATACCTACATTATATTCAAATATCTTCATTTTTTGTAATTTTTTGATTTTTTTTCTGGTTTGAATTTTTTTTTTTGTAAGCCCAGTGAACCCCGTTGTTTTGCAGAGTCCTACCAGTGCCGTACCTAATCTAACCTGTCTTGGTTTGCTTTCCAGTAGTTGAAAACCCGTCCTGTGTTGGTTGTATTTATTCCTACCTGTTTGAAGGTTTTCCAAGCCCGCCCTATATTTAGCATTGCCATAGTGTATGGAAATACCCAAACGCCACATTGTGTTTGCCCCTTAACAAGTTGGGAGCCATCTCGACGTTTCTAACAAAAAGATATTTTCCCATAACTTCATCAATGCACCATATGCAACTGTAGTTTGTGGTATCATCGTTGCTTTGTTCTTTTTGTTTTTGTCAGAAGAGGAGTATAGTCGTTGGTTATATTGGATATCAGGTCATGCCTTTGAAGTTTCTGCTTGTAATTTAAATCACTGTAATACAGCTGTAATTGTGTAGGTTAGCAGACAAATTTCCAATATCAGGTGGCTTGACATAGATTTTGGCCACTAGGCGCCTATTTGTATATTTGTTGAGCTGTATTATGCAAAAAAAAAACACGAGTGGACATTTATCATACCAATGTAAGATTTTTCGATTAAGACGATTGAAATTAGAGAGATCGCTTTTGTGATGAGGGGTTGTCGTTTCAATTTACCTTTTATTTGTACATTTTTGCTGCGTGTAATGAAATGGGATTTGGTTTTTCTTTGTGTTTTCAATTTTTTTTTTTTTTACTTGGTAGACTTCTTGTTGCAGTGCCTGTGTATGGAATCAAAAGAAGCAAGTTTTAGGTGCGGAACAGTTGAAGAAAAGGACAGAAGCGATAAAAGTTTCTGGTCAAAAGACGGAAGGGCATGTTACGGTGATTTTGATTGATTCTTTGAAGAAGGAGCTATAGAGAAAAGTACATGCTTTTATGTACAGTTTAAGATAAATTTGATATATTTAATAATGGCGTATATATGTAAAGAGGTCAGATCGGGGTACTAATTAGTAACCTAGAAAGCTACACAGCAAAGCTGAACTGAAATTTTTGAAAGGAAATTAGCGGTAGACTTTCGTCTTCTTATTTTGATGTTCTTGTGTCAGTTTATTACCAAAAAAGAAAAGAAGTAAACTCTTCTCGGTGACAAATAACTCATATTTACGATTGTTACTAGGAGTGTATCATAAACTTTTTCTTGTCCAGTAGTGAGCAGGGTTGTACCGTGTAATTAATTGTTATATTGGTGATATAATAACTCAAACATTTTGTTCGAATATCTTTTCTTTTCCCTTGGTGAATATGACATGTATTGCTTGAAAGGGCGGAGAAATCCCCTCTCGGGGTATTTTTATATGCAGAATTTGTGGGAGGCCCTTGCTCTTCGGGTGAGTGAGAGGTAGTTGAAGAGACGGGTGCAATTCTTGAACGATCATGTAGGTCTAAAGATTATAGGTTTCCTCACCACTTTGTGTCGAAACTTAAATCATTTGTTGCGAATCTCCTAAGATTACTTGAAACTGTCAACCCGTGCGCCATAATTAAGTAGCCTCTTACCTTTCATGTTTCAAATTGCGTGTGGATTGCATGTAGGTAGCACAAGCCGCTATTTGCACTACTGACACTCATCCTGGAGATTTATTGGTCATTTGTGATTGCGGATGTAGCTAGATAAACGCTTCCACATCATCAGCTGCTCCGGTATCGGACGTTAGCAAGGGCAAGCCGTACTTTGCACAAATGATATAGTTTGTGCTCTACAACATTGTCTTAGCACAGCCACAACCCCAGAACGCAAGCTGCCAAAGAAACCTGTCAATCTTGCCCGGACTTTCCAATTTTGGCAAAAGGTAGCTTTTCGCAAGCGACTGTTTTCTGTGGGATATTTTGGCCTTTCTTGAAAGCCTGCTACCTATTTTGTAGAAGTCAAACTCTTGTGTAAGTCTTTAGTCTGCGTGTTGAAGAATCAGATTCCCTACTCTGTATTCGTGAAGATGTAAAATTGTATGATACACTGCAGAATTAACACTGATGTAATTTCTCTGCTAATATGCACACGTTGTGAATTGAACGGCACCAGAATATCTCGTAATTTTACTTGTTTTGCAGTTTTGCTTGACTTGATCGTCCAGTCGAGGGGTTTAACGTGTAAAAACCTGCATTCAGGAAATAGTTGCCATTATTAGCAAAAGATATCATTGCTCTGAAATTTCCCCAAAACGAGATAAAATATTGTCTTGTGTACGAATAGCCGTTGAATCATGTGTTGAAATTGTGACCACATCATGGAAGCAGAATACCAATTAAAGTGAAACGTATTTGACATGGAATTACGTCACCAATGACGTCACGTTTCACGTCAGCATACGTTAACTTGTCAAGAGTTGAATACTTGATAAGTAACATTATCCGCATAATTATGGTTTTGCATTGGGTTAAAGTTTGATCCTCATTAATTGCTTTGAATGAAATACCAATTTAACCCATTGTATACTACATGACATATGTGCCTTTTTCGCCCCTTCGTTGGTCTTGAAACGCATTGCTGTTGACGGGAGTGTCTTCAGACTCAAAGCGAGAAACAAATTTGGTCATGGACAGAGGTGAAATGTGCATGATGTTTAAGTTTGCATTAGGGTTAATAAGTTGTTCATGGGACCAGTTATCTGGATTGGCGGTTTTTCTGGTTCAAACACAATTGGTTTTTTTCACATTATTACCTGAGGGTAACATTCAAGTTAAATACATGTTGAAATTGGTCAACCCTTTACGGCACCAGCATTTAGCAGTTTAGTAGTTCAGCTGACTTTAATAGTTGAGTTTCCGATCGCGAATTGTGGCTTAAGTTCTTCTCTGAAAAAAAAGGTGGTATTTTATTTGTTGCCTATATTACTTTTCCCTCAAAATATCGGCCTATTTTACTGCTTTATTAACTGTGTAGTGTATGCATTTGCAGGGGCACAGATTGGTGCGCTTATGGCTCGCATCTGTGTGACTATAAAGTATGTGTACATTAGCTAGAATTCTATTTCACAATTTAACTTTTTTCTCTATTGGTTTAGAAGGCGTTTAAGGTATAAAATGTAATAGTGCTATTGAAGCAATTATATATATTATTGATGTAACATTTCTTATATCTCCAGGTCCTGTAGCTGTAATTATTTCTGGCAGGCGTAGAAAGGGTCTGCCAGGCACTTTTGAATTTTAGTCATTGTGGCTTTTACCACGTGCGTCGCAAAACAGCCACCACAGTGTTCGCTTCGTCTTTCCAACTTCGTTTGTAGACTGCAGGACCTGACTTGCTTGTGTTTTTTTTCCATATTCATACAGTAATTGTGTGGTCGGTTTAGTTCTACATGTACCGTGGTGGCTGTCATGCGCACGCACATATTAACACGATCACAAAGTTGTCTCTGGAGGGCGCCCTATCCTGTATTTGAAACCGGTTTCATATATCAAATTATCTGGTCGAAAAAGCAACACCACGATGACATATTTTGAGGTCTTGCCTTGTACCTGTTTGTGATTTGTTTAGCACCCTCCAGTGGCAGTACTTGTGTGGTGTACGTGATCACGTTTTTCTCACTTCTCTCGTACCCATCGCCAAATAACCGCTGATCTCCATGTAACAAATATGCACAGCTATTTGCCATTCCGAGTGTACAAACAAGTGAAGCTACGCGCTGCTTCCCGATCCTTCCATTCGAATGTGCGGAGGAAACCAGTATCAACCGCTCCCATCGTTCACAATTAAATAAGATATCTTTCTTTACAAATCTATTGTTCTTGGAGTGGTAATACTGCGGACGGCGGCGTCAATTTGAACAGCCAACGGGCTATCCTGATTTTTGTTACATGGAGATCTGTGCAACTAACTGTGACCACTGTTACCAGCTGATCATAACAAGAGCTCCCTCATTTATTAAGAATGAAAGACTACGCAACGTGGCTGTCACGCTAATGTGTAGACGTCACTGCTTAAGGTCAATTTACCCAGAGGCCATTGCCCATTTGGTAGCAAGATTCTGTTCAAATTTGATCAGCCGGTACCAGGGATCTTGCTTGATATCGATGGGTACCAGTGAAGCTCTCCTGATGTCCAGTAGACCTTTCCTTGACGTCACCACGGTTTGGCAATCAACAGGTTGGAAAGAAAGTTATCGGAAAGCGAATAACACAGTGCGATTACGTATATGGTTAACGCTTCAAAGAATGCTGACTTACTGTCAATGTTTACCAACGAAAAGAAAGGTCTATAGGATTTCACTTTATATGCTATTATCGGTGTCATTGTTTGTGTCAAACTTTAAAAAGGAAGGGTAAAATTAATCGTTGTTAACTTCCGATAAATATATCGATTTATTATGAAAGTTGGGTGAGCGTTTAACAACATACGAAATTAAAAAAAAGAAATAATAAAATACCTGTTGGAAGCATGATGAATGTATAGAAAAACATATCGTTCGTAATTTCTTTTCTTTGTACCTGTGTTTACTTAGGAAAGAATGTTGCAACCCTGATGACGCCGCTTTTTTTCTTCACATTATGTCATCTCAATAAAGGTCAGTCTTTGCAAAACTGTTGAAAAGAAATGATTCCGAGACTGAGAAACATTTCTAAATTTTCAGGAAATACTTAGAACATTTTCTTGACTCTCCATAGACTTTGTACGCAACCGCTGAAGTGACGTCTCGATACCACACTCTGTTCTTTATTATACTATATGCATGCGCGAGATACTGTACGGGATCGATAGCCATAGCAGACATATTTTGTTCAAAAGCCAACAGCTCAGATGTAGATCAGTGCAGATGGACGTCGCCAGGATATTTTCTAGAGAGAGGCAAAATCACTGACGGCCAAATTGTCCGACAGACAACTCCGTGCTGGGTAGACTTTTTTTCCGGTCACCCTGCGGCCGGAAAAAAGGAGGGGGGGGGGAGGGGCTGTATGCTATCTGACTACAGGGATGCTCTTCGAAGCTGAAAATGTAATTACTTTGATTTTGGAAGTGATGGTTAAAAGCAGGCGAGGGTAACACTACTAGTAGCAGTTATGAGGCTATTATAGCTTCTCTTTATTCGTAGCTTCGCCCCTCTTGTCTTCTTTTTTATTTTCATTTCTCGGTTTTTGCCCTTTATTTTTTGCATTTCCATCGCGACCCCCATGCATGTTCTTGGTTTTGAGCTGTATACCAGAACTTCTGCATTCGTGACTAATGTAATTATTAATTTAAATGTGACAGTCTTCCGATAAATTTTTGTTTACTCTTAAAACATCAATAATAATAAGCCCCACCCGCCTTGGTTACCTAGCTACCGTGATCACCTGACCAAAACTCGTGATCTAATTGGCCAAAAAAGTAACGATCTTGGCTGCTTCGAATTGATCTTGATGTGGTGCCATACTTGAAATTAAAGGCCTTTTCGCAAGAACTGAAAGACTACAGAGTGATATCAAGAATTGACAGTCTAGTATGATCTCAATTATACTCGGACATCTCACTGTTTAATCTCAGTTTTTAATCTCTTTTTAAGAAGACTACACAATCTCTGATATGGCTTGTGCCTCGAAACAGTAGTGCTAGATCTCATAAATTTGGAAATATACCAATTTACATAATTCTGATATGTATTTTAATAAAGCGTTAACTTACATGAAAAAAATATATGTAAGCTTGTTAAATTACTTGACTACCTATATAGTTACTGAATGGAAGTTGTTTGCCATTTTGTTACGGAAAACCTACACTCACTAGCAACATTTTTATACTTGTACAACGAAAGTCCATAGATAGTGCGAACTACCTCTGTCAAAGGTATTTTGGGACTCCATGATTTCAGCGCCTAAATTGGTTGTAGATTTTTAACTGTTATTTACCCATAAGATGATAGCTATTATCAGTGTGACCTATCTAAATACGTGCACCAACATTTGGACATCTTATTCAGTTTCCTTGAAATGGATTATTTTGAGCCCACACGGACCTGTCTATACCTTTACGTATAGGCGGCATACACTAATAAGTTATATGACACCTTTTAGCTGAACACTTTCGGGTGAAAGCTGTCCCGTTGTATTTGTAGCGGATCTTGGTGTTTCGCTCTACATCAGTTTGACTTTGATGCATGGAATCAATATAGTTCTGTTTATTCTCGATACGGCAATCGTGTCCGTTAAAAGCTCGCGTGGCACTTCCCGCAAGTTTGTTTAGCCATTTGCAATTAGACCTCTTGAAATGTTCGCACGATGGCTCAGACTGACATTTAAGTGCATGAGCAGAGACATGAAAACGAATTGGTCACGAGTTTCCCATTAACTATATAGGTCATCTATTGTCAGTGTGAAACTAGAAATGTGTTTGTTTTTCTAAAGGGGGCTGTCAGCTTCGGAGAAGTTTGTATCTAATTATTTCGTCCTACTTCCAATTCCTTTCATAATTGATATTTACACAGTTTGCAACGTAGGCTTATAGTGAAATGCAAATGGATATAATAACTCAGTATAGTATGACAGCGGCTATACCTTTTTTTATTTACAAGTCAGTCATGTTATTTCTGTTACTTTCTGCTTATTTCAGTTTTCGGTTTCTTGATGTCTCGATTTATAATAATCGATTCTCGTTCAGCGTCGATTCCGATGTTTTTCGCTGCAGTCTGTTTCCGAGACCATTTGGAAACCATTTGGCGCCTTGTCTTCAGTCGAGTTGGTATATTTGCTTTTCGTCAATTGCCGCAATGGGTTTTGTCGTGTTGGCGTTCTGCACTGTCACCATCATCGCCGAATTCATGCGGGTTTTACCGATGTCGTCATCAGCCGGGTTGACTTTCCGGATGAAACGATGACATCTGAAGAGCTGTAGGGTGAAATTGGGAGAGAAAAAAAAACCAGTTTGATAATGATTTCTTTTCATAGACATCCTGGGCAACTCTGATGAAACTTTACATACAAACAAAAACAAGACAGTAGAAATACACTGGAAATTCATTTTCAAACGCTTGGCATTGCACACAGGCCCCAAAACAATGTCGAGTTTTTTGAACTGTGAATTGCAGTACATGGGGCTCTGAATGAGAAACAAGTGAACGTACCACAACAAGTTTTTTCCCTGAAATTTCGGAAACAGAATGTTAAGATCAATGAGGCGAAAAGTGAAAGTTTACGCACCTGCGACATGCCGATCTTGAACCGTCGACTCATGAAAGCGTAGACCAGGAAGTTGAGGGCGCTGCCGCCGTAGGCGATGAGACACGCGGTGACCTCCATAACGCTGAGTTCCTCCGGTGTCATCTGAACCACGTACTTGAGCAACCTGCTGATCAAACTCGGGATCCAAGACACGGCAAACACCACCACTACGATGATCACCATCTTGACTGTCTTGTCCGTCTTGCTGGTATTGGTCCTCGATGATTCTTTGTTGCCAGCCGCTCTGCGTTCAGCTGCCTTGGCGGCGCTAAGGATGCGCGCGTAGCTGATCACCATAGCAGCGAAGGGGAATGCGAAGCAGATTGCCAAGACGATGAACTCGTACTCACTAGGCATGAAATAGATGACGACAGCTACGGCGGCAGACAGAGCCCAGATGAGCACCAGGACGGGCCTGCATCGCTGGAGGGTGAGTCTCCGGGACATGGGATGCAGCACGGCGTCGTAGCGATCCAAGGCGATGGCTGTCAGGTTGAAGATGGAGGCAACGGAGGAGAAGTAAAAGAGGAATTGCTCCACGCGATAGGAGACGCCGGTGTGACCGGAGTGCACCAGGATACCGACTACGAGTAGAGGTGAACAGACCATGCAAACGAGGAGATCCGCCACGGCCAAGGAAGTCAAGAAAACCTCGGTCACTGTCCGACCTAAAGCGGGGTTCAAACAAAATGGAGAAGTGTCAACATGAAACAGTGTATTCAGCGATGCCTTGAGTCATAAACCAATTTCAAAAACACCTGTACAGCAAAGGAATGATTTCATGGGCGTAATTACTGGGGAGAGGTGGAGGCGGGGGGGGGGGGGGTTGCTGAGGATATATCCCCTTAAGCTTTTTGCTTGAGGGGATTGGCCATTAGATTAAGCCGCCCCTCCCCCTCCAGATTTTGGTGCTGAACAAAACACAAGTTGTATTTGTAAATATAAGTATCAATGTAAGCAAGAGGAATATCAAAACCACTCATAAATGCATATGAAATTTAAAGTCAAAAGTATCATAAAAACTGCCTTTAAGAAGAGACATACGTTAAAATTATTCTGAAAACAGTTATGTTATTAACAGCGCCGACAAGTGTCGAATGGTGTTCAAACCCCTTGAGAACTACACATCTCCATTTTTATTCATTCCACGCTGTTTATCCAAATGCAACTTCTTGTTACCATTCGCAGCTTTGAATTGCTTTAAGCCTTATACTCCGTTAAATTTTCCCCCATTAAAATGAGGTCGAAGGAAATTTAATATTATTCACTTGGAATTCTGTAATTGACACGGTCACATGTTATTATAATAATTAATTGAGTACCAAAGTGTGACGTCATTCTGAACCGGGAAGTGTAGTGCAAACGAATGGAGTACGCAGCGTGTTGGTTCACGGGCTGAATCACGGGCTATATCTTTTTTTTACACAAAAAATTGTTGTTCGCGTGATGTATATTCGGCACTCTATACGGGCAATTAATTTATTGGCCTGTGTTTAGTTGTATTTTTAATTCAATAAATATTATTAATGAAAAACCTCTTTGTCAGTAAAGGGAGTATTTTTTCGAACGAGGTCAAATATAACAAAGGGGGGGGGGGGGGGGGGTGATAGATTCCTCCCCCATCATGCCCCCCCCCCCACCCCTCCCTCGATGAGCGTCTAATAACACAGGGGCCTGTCAGTGAACGTCCCAAAAGAAGGACGTTCATAACTTATGAAAGTTTTGATTTTCTGCAAAGTGATCTCAGCTGTGACCTCAAAAACTCACGTCAACTTTTTCGTTTTTCTATTTAAAGTCCAACACAACTCATACACACAATATTTCAATTCATGTACACCGCACGCACAGCGTATACATCCTGAATAACAAAATATCATCATTTAAATTCTCCCAAGTGCCCCATGTCATTTGCATTTAAAAGCGCGCGCCAATGACCGTCCGACATTCCTGCATAATTTAAGTTTTCACAGGTGTTATGTTGAATAGTGTTTGGACGCGTGCGTTCGCTTTAATAAAGCACACATCACAGTATAGTAAAGATGGCCGCTGGATGAACTTGTGAAGTCAAACAAGACTTTTCGTTACGCTACAGGACTTACGTTTGTTGGGAAAAAAATTATACGTTGGCGTGAAAGAAACGTTCCAGGCTTTAGAAGGCTAAGCCATGAATGTTTTCTGGCTTACGTGGCTTATTTTCTCTAACTTTTCGCAAGTTCAGTTTCATTTCAGTGCACTACAACTACAAAGTGACAACGTTTGTTTCTGCAAAACACCACAGTGACTTGTTCCGTAAGTTGAATGTGAAAGAAGTGGTCGCGGACTTAGTATGGTTGCCACGGTATTTTCGACAGCTGCATGAGTACAGATTATGTGGAGGGATATGAACTGGTTACTTAGGCGAAGAGTAGCAAAGGAATAAATCAGTGTCTGGAACATTTTTATCAAAGTTTGCAGTGCCTAAATCAAAAGTCCACGCGTTCACACAGTTACCGCCTGTGTCGTCTCTACATGTTGTTGCAAGCAAAATACCGAGGTAAGACATTTTCTTGTCATTTCAGTGTTAAAATATCAGTTAGGATGCATTCCCGACGTCATTTTTCATCGTATAAAAGCCTCATTGTTGGTCACCCGTGTTGGAAATACTGAGATTTGGGGTTTGATAAGAGGGCCTAGCTGGTTGCATAAAAAGACGGCGATTATGTAATGGCAGTGGCTATTTAGCCGGATCCGGCTTTCTTTTAGTAAAGTGAACATGTAGTGCAGTGACTGCTTTGGGAAATTTTTGTTACCGCGACAAATATCAGTCTGGTTCCGCGCCAACATTGTCGTTGTGACTTCGTATTCGATGAGAATCGGACTATTTTACAATTTCGGACTATATTTCCCTTACAAAAATGTTCCAGAGTAGGGTTATATTGATACGTTGAGGCAAGCTATGTAAACTCCGAAAATGAAAAAGTGCTGATATTGTACAGGATGAGTCCAAAAAAAAAAGCGGAACACAAACCCCCAAAATTATATTTCATATTTAAAAAAATATGTAGCATGAAAAAAAATAATGACTGGAAGGCCAATTTCATAAGCTACTTTTATAGGAAAAAATTACTAAAATTTGTCATTCCGTTCAAGGAATATCACCATTTAAACACAGTGACCCTAAAACCTGTCTCGTCCAACAAACAATGCGATTTCAAGAATGGTCGTCACAACTGTCTTTAAACATCACCAGCGATAAAATCTCATTTTTAACTTTTACAATATTCAACAAAGCCCTTTTGAAGGCCCGTCTTAAAAAGAGGAGATTTATAAATCATATTGTTTGCCTAACCAGGGTTGTTAATAAGATATTGTGTACTACCGTTGGTGACAGTTATTGAAACAAATATTCTGTGTCATTTTCTTCGTTGTTCAAAACAGTCAAAACACACAATAAATTGCCTTTTTTGGACGAGACAGGTTTTAGGGTAATTGCGTTTAAATGGTGATATTCTTTGAACGGATTAAGCAATTTCAGTATTTTTTTCATCTAAAAGTAGCTAATGAAATTGGCTTTCCAGTCATTATTATTTTTGGTGCTACATATTTTTTTTAATATGAAATATACTTTTCGGGGTTTGGGTTCCACTTTTTTGACCCTGTATCTAAAACTTAAGAGAAAATATAGAACTGAAGCTAGTCATGTAACATTAACTAGTCGAGGAGCTGTATGTGAATATTTGTACCGTGAACTTTTATCAGGTTTGTATACACGCTATCCGATAAATCTCTAGTAAATTAAAAGGCGAATGTTAAATGTCATAAAATACATCTCTTCAGTTCCAACCGAGAACATGGGGAAGTATAAAAAATAACCTTAATAGGCCGAAATCCATGTCTCAAAATATTTCTTGAATTTATGACACCCCCCCCCCCAAATGTTGATTTCCAATGTTACCAAATTATTTCCAAACCTGTTGGTCGGAGATTGTCCTTGGTGATGTGTGAGGCCAGCCTAAGGCGTAACGAAAGTATAATGACCCATACTTCATTAAGAAAAAAACCCACTTGGACAGGCACGCTTGATGAACCATGTTAGTGATGAAACAATCAACATTTGCGATTAACCTCGCAAAACGTCAAGCTTTGTGTCTGTAGATACCATTATCGTTTATCGTACCAATGCCGTTTCAAAATTGCTCGTGACTTTTTATCCTTTATTGCCACTTAATAAGCCCATACAAATAAGTACGTGCAATTTAGAACTCCGTCGCGTGAAATTGATGTTTATCAGATTTCATTTTATTTCATTTCTTTTAGGACACCCCCCATGTTTATTTCCAATTTTACCAAATTATTTCCATTTTATTTCATTTCTTTTATTAATTTTGTCTCAAATCATGGCCCAGAGGGCCAAATTCCAATACATTAAAAGCAATTAATTTTTAAAAGCGATGAAATTTGCATAATACAAACAAAATAACATGAGTAAAAAAAAGGCGGGTATAATACAATAAAATTGTACGTTAAGGCCAAAAAAGAAATATTCGGTCTCTTTGGCTTTTTTTTTTTTTCTTCAAGCTTGGATTGTACAGACAAGGTAGGGTACTATTTTGCTATTTGGTGTCCTCATGTACATTGGTGTCCTCCATAATTTGCCTTGGTGCTCTCGATCATTTGCCTTGGTGCAATTTCCCATTCCTTGTGCTCTTTGGTAAAAAAAAATTGAGGAGGTGCGGCAATAGAGGGCGCTGTTGGAGCTACCGCGGAACATTTTGGAGAAAAAAAAGATTGACGCGCATGATTAAAATCGACGCGCGCGCTGACCAGAGACCGACTTTTTTTTTTTTTTGGCCTAACAAGCACAACATAACCAAGCAAACAGGAACAATACAAGAAAAGAGGGACAACATCAGCCCCGTCGCCAGCTCCAAACATTAATTGGGGCCAAAATAAAAGAAAATCGCACACAATAAAATCACACAGAGCCGGCATTTAAAATGTTTGTAGAGTAAGGGATGGGACTTTGTTGGAAGCGCTTGGTTCTAATTGGGAGTTGAGTTATTTGATTTCTGTTCTTTAGGTTCATGACTTGTTAGCGTCGTAGGGGGGAGCAAGTGAGTTGTTCTTGAATTAGTGCCAAGTGCATTGGCAAATTTTAAGCAATGACATACTCTTCTGCTATCTAGTGCATCCAAGTTACATAGGTTGAGCGCATCCAAGTACGAAGTGTACCGATTTCCCATGATGGTCCTACAAGCTCGTTGTATCCTTTCAAGATTGGTTGCTTTTTTGTTAAACTAGAATGCCATATCACATCCGCGTACTCGACCATAGGTCTGACATAACTGTTGTAAACAACCAAACGTTCCTCGTGATCAAAGCCAAATCGTTGTCGTGATCTCAACATGAAGAGGCGTTAATTGTTTTACCATTACTCGTGATCAACTTCGGCCTCCTAATTAAGATCTGCTTGAAACCAGAGGCCCAGAACCTTCGCTTTGTTGACATACTGGAGCTCAAGTTCAGAACCGATGAACAATTCAGTATGAATTGGGGCAGATTTACTTAAACATACTTCAAAAACCTGGCATTTACATGGGTTTAATTTCTGGTGATTATGTTTTGCCCAATCTGTGAATTCATCCAAATCGTTTTGTAAACTGGTCATTCCATTGAATTTCCTATTTTC